TGTACTCCAAAAACGCTTTCTTCTCCAGTTTTACCGTTTTGTTCACAAGATTACGCAGAGATTTATAATATTCCCAGTGTGCGGGTGATTGCGATTGTTTGAATTTTTTGTACGCTTTATCCCTTAGCCTCATAAGGTATTTGGTGTTGGATGATAACCATTGTGTGTTAGTTTTCCTGTTGCCCGATACAGTAACTATGGGTGCATGCTTGTTAATAATGTTGAGAATGTTATCATTTAGGTAATTTAGTTTCAGATTTACGTCAGCTATGTAAAAAATATGTTGCCAGGCTACTCTTTGTACATCGGCTCGAAATAAGTCTACATCGAAATTTTTAAAACTTCTAATAGCTCTGCGTTCATGATGACTTGTTATTTTGTCTAAAACGAGTTCACAAAATATGGTTTCGTGATCAGCAAATAACATACCATTTGTACCAGATTTTTTAACTACAATAGGATTTGAAACAATTATGTGGTCTAAAAGCGACGTACCTAAACTAAACAATCCCATCTTGACTATCGTTAATAATAAACTACAATATCTTCTAACTAGGTAATGTCAACAAAATAAATCAAATTAATCTAAGGTTTGTTGGTAAAAAAAAAGGGTGCTGCTTATTAAATTGGTACATACAGGGCCGGTGAAAGGCTATTTGGCGCCCTAGGCGAGATGTTCTCAGCGCGCCCTTCCGGAGGTTATTCAAAAATAGAAAGTGGCGTTCATAAATACTTTATTGTGTTTTCTTCAAATACATAATAACATAACGACATAACGTGTAGGCGGTGTAGGTATACAAAAACTCATATCCAAAGATATTAGGGTAGGGATATACACATAAAAAATCAAACATTCATCTTCCTTGCCTTATTTCTCGTGAATAGACCGCCCTCGCTTGACTTGAGAGAGGTGTGCGATCGCGGCACCGGCAGTACCGGGAAGTTTTTTGGAGCCGCCGACGCGCTTTCGCTGAAAGATGTTGCTTAATTTTGGCGCCCTCTGAAGCTTGGCGCCCCAGACAGCCGCCTATGTTCGCCTTGTGGTTTAACCGGCCCTGGGTACATACAGGAAAACAGAAGATTTGCGATAAGGTGAAAAAGAAAGCAAGGAAAGTGCATTGATTCGATAGATTTAGACCTTTAGCACGTTTTGATCTTTGAGTTACAGCGATAAATCACCCACTGCCGCGTCGTTTAAAAGAATACCGAATATAATATAAAAGTAATTACATCAAAGTACATTTCGTGAGTGTTATAAAACCTACCAAACTCCCCCCCTAGGAGATAGTTTTAGCACAGACAGATAGAACCAACAAAAAATAGAAAAACTAAAACATCTACTGCTGTATTTCATATGGTAATGTATGATGATATTTAAAGAAGAAACTAGGACCTCACGTTAGGCTTAAAATAATTTAAGAACCCTTCAGAAATGATTGAAAAGTGACACACCTCTAACTTAAATTATTTAACCAAAAAATGAAATACTTATGTTATATTTTTGTAATATGGTCACACCTCACACCTTGAATGATATAATGTAGTTGCAATAAGCAAAGATCAATGTTAAGGCCTGCTTATATTAACAACATTTTTATAATACTTTAATAACACCGAGGTCGCATAAGTAATGAAAGGTCAATTTCTTCATTTTCACCAGTGGCCCAAGAAAGTTACGTGCTTCATTCAATGTCAATACGTTTAGAAGGAAATACCTAATGAATCAAATAGTGCGGTTAATAACACCATAAATTTGGCTGTAAATAACAAAGAGAGATCAAACCAGTTTGTTAGAATTATACAAAAATTATAACCAAAAACCAAAATCAATAGGCACTCGCAATGTTGGAAAAATTTTTAGTTATTTGATTAAGTCACCTGGCTAATAATTATTCAATAGCAATATAATAAGAATTTGCTGGTAGTAGTAATTTCGTTTGTTGTTTTACAATTTAACTTTCACTCATAAATATAAATTTTGATGTAATAGAAAATTTTATTTTTTTAATAAACTTTTTATTATTGTTTTGTCGTAAATAAATAAACATATCCTTTCCTCAATAAAAACTATGTAACGGATAATATGCGCTACTGATATCCATCTATTGTGATGTGAGAGCGTAACTGCGTATTCTCCTTGCCATTTATTTAACCTGTGGTTAAGTGTTTGCCAGGTATTCAACAATGTTTATTAGTTCTGTCTTTGTCTGAATACTTTCAACTATTTGGAAAATGTTTTTATTAATTGTAATTTCTAATATCGTTTTAAAATCAGACTGATTTAAATTCATAACTAAAGCCTGTTTTTAAAAGGATTCTCGCCTACTTGTAATACGATAGTATTCTGTGAAAGATCAGATGAAATTTAGGGAAGAAAGACATTTCCAACGACCCCTTACTTACCCTATCAACACATTTAAAATTTTATTTAATCTCCTATAGGAAAACCCCTTGAGTCTTGCCTCCCCTCCACCCCTTACCCCTAGAGATTTGATTGTCATATTATTATAAAGTAATGCGCTCGTTGTGCACTCACATGCGCCACTCTTGCGCAAAATAATTTTATGCGAAATTAGAGGACTCACTAATGCCGGGGGGGAATACTTCCTGACCCCAAGGACCAATGTCAAATAAGTATCGATGTACCAGACCCCTATCTATAGTAATGAGTTGGCTACGTGCTAATAAGCATAGCTATAATCAGAGCCACCAGCATGTGTATCCGTGGTCCCCGCCACAAATGGAAGCGTACATATGCCTATGAAGATGAAGCCGCTCTCCCCACTATCCCATAATAATCCACATTTATATTTACTTTTATTTTTTAAGTTATTTTTATAATATCCCATTTATGGCTGTCATTTTTCAATTTAAGTGTCTTATGAAGAAAAAAAAATACTGTTAAATAATTGGGATTAGCACGGGTAGACAACGATCGACCGAGCCTATCTACCTATCCACACTAATTGATAAATATGGTCGACGACTGAAGGAATTAAAGTACAATATCCGTGGGCAAGAGTTATACATGTTTCAATAAACTGTCAACCCTCCCCAAAGCCAATAAACGAACGCACTTTTTATAAACAAAAAAAAAGATAATAAATGAATTATTGGTAATAAGTATTAGTAATAAACACAAACAAAAGGAAACAAGTATAAATTGTGCACAACTCTTGTGCAGATAAAGCGCATTTCTTTAAACCGAAATAGCATCACCAATGGATATTGAGAGGTTCCACCCTGTGTATACAACTTACGACGATGCACACAGTTTTGAGAGTTGGAAATCATGCAATTTCTAGGTGGGGAAAAGCTGCCTGTGCCATCTAGAAAAGAACGAACGGGTTTTTTAAAACTAATATTGGGAATGAGGAAATGCCTGCTGCACCCCCTGCTGTGGCGTAATGGCGTGCCTCTATGCAGGGGGAGTGTGGGGCTTGCATCCACCCTTCTCCCAGTTCCCCCAACTTAGCGGGTATCACCAATTGTATCCTTCCGCTCGTGTGGGGGGGGGGGCTGCCTTACTGTTCTCTTCTCCTGGCCTCTACTTCTCTCGTCCTTATGACCTGCGTGATGAAATTATCAATTTTCTTCCAGCTGCTCTCGCTACCGATCATGGTGTCTATAACACTGTCTTCCTCTATTGGATCCCCTACCTCCAATCTTAGTGCCCATCCAACGGGGGTTACGTTTGACATCTTGTCTTGAATGGCGGTCGTGAACGCGTCTCGTTCCATAAATGTTTGTTGTTATTTTGTGTTATTTAATGCAGGTAGTAATTTTTGCATTACTTTATATCGTATTTGTGTTTTGTATGCCGCCTTTTATATTTTTTGTGTGTTTCAATCTTTGATTTTGAAATTTACTTGATTTAACTGCAATGCAGAATGACATGTTAAATACCGTTATGCTATTGTTTGTAATTGTTTACGTTTTTGGTGTAATGCTTGCTTAATTTATGTTTATTGATGTTGAGTACTTGGTCTTGTCCGTGAAGTAACATATTCATATAAGTTTTAAGTATTTTATTTTAATATGTGGAAATTACCGATTCGTTTGATGTAGGTATGTACTGACTTGTTGTTTGTAAATAACATTTTCTCCGTGAATGAAGCAGTCACGGGGGTGGAAAAAAACTGTAGTCAAAATTGAGCTACGACACCTACAACACAAGCAGTGGCGTCGCTAGAGTACGATGCGCCGGGTAGCAAAACAATTAATGCGCCTTTCTCCAAAAATAAAAATAAAGATTTTAGCCATTTATTTTAGTACGCATACACATGCAGGTGTAGGGCAATAATGATAACGTTCAATGCTTCGCATCGCATCCTTGCACGTGCACCTCGCATGACTTCATTTAGTTGAAATGTGATATTGTCAAGTTTCGAGATACAATAGGCCTTTATGTTAAATAAAGGCCTTTCTTTTATACATAAGCTTACAGGTTTACTGTATCACAGTTAGATAATTAAATTTAAATCTTGTAAGATTATTTTTGTTGAATTTTTGCTACTCTGATTAATCCCAACCGCGATGTAAATGTAAGTAATATAATAAATAAACCAATAAACGAGACTAACCGCGGCGCCTTTCGGTACTTGGCGCCGGGTAGCAATTGCAACCCCTACTACCCCGATAGCTACGCCACTGAACACAAGCCCTTGCATTAAAAAATGCATAAATTGGGGGATATTCTGATATAATTGCCCCGTGTCGTGTCCCAAACGATGGTTAAGGCATTGTTTAAATACTTTAAACAATGGTTAAGGTTAACCAATGATTCACAATATATGTGAGCAGTATTGATTATAACTATAATCTAAGGTATTTTCCATTCTAATGTGAATGTGTAGGTACAATTACTATATTATAACGGGGAACACAAATGCAGTGTAATTGAATTTCGCAGTGTTTGGAACAGCACTGTTAGGTTGGTTGCGTCTTACTAGGGAACAGCACGTGCAAGTGGAATAAAATGAAAGCGCTCTCTGTAATCTGTATATCAATTCATATCAGTGTACTTTTGGCAACGTTGTATTAAACGTAAACTTTTTGTTTTTAGAATGTGTAAATTGTTCTCCAATTATCCATATTTTTGGGTTTTTTTATGAAAACGCAGCTGTTGACGTAATCTTAACCAACACTCACATTATCAACGATTATTCATCAAAACTAAATTGCGCAATATTACATAGCGTGTTGTATCCCTGATATTATAGAATTTGTTTTGATACTGATAGGTGGTAAAGGTACAGACCATTGGATCTAACAAACCAGAAGAATATGGCTCCAAAAAGAGGTAAAGCTAAGGTGGCACCCGAAACAGAATCGGGAGATGATTCAGACGAGTACAGGAAAAAGAGAGATCGCAATAACTTGGTAATGATAATAACTTCTCACTCTGTAAATAATTAACTTATTTCTAATACTTTACAGGCTGTTAAAAGAAGTCGAATTAAATCCAAACAGAAAACACAAGAAACTGTCAATAGAGTGACACAGTTAAAAAGTGAAAACACAGTGCTTGAAGAAAAGGTGAAAAATTTAACTAAAGAACTTGGTTTTTTAAAAGAGCTGTTCCTTGCACATGCTGGAAGTGCAGGTGACGCTTCTAAGTTTGAAGGGATCGATCTACAGAAGTTATTGTCTGATCCTTCAGATGGTGCGAGTACTAGTAATTCATAAGAACGCTGGATTCTTAGACGACTAAAGTGGGATGGGCTAACCCTGCGATGAACCGTACGTTAGATGTCTCAACTACGATACTATTTCCCAAATGGCGTAATTGAACTCTCACCAAATTAGGAATATGTGGTTTATATAGTACAAATAGGGATGGTTTTAAGAAGAAATATACGATTTATTGCATATATGTAACACCAATATTTTTATATAAGCAAACAATACTTCTGTAAAATCTATAAACGTGCATAATAAAAACTATTTGCAAAGATTAATCTTATGCCAGTACAGTAAGTACAGTCGTAGTATAGTCAGATTGAGCCTGCTGTATTAATAGTCTTGTGTTCAATTTGAGTTTATTGTTTGTCGAGTTTAATAAATTGTTAATTCGACAACACCTGTTCATGTCTTTAGTTTAATTAAACATTTAGTATGACCAATAATTCGAATTGACAGTATGTGTTCTGTTAATAGAAAGCAGTGGCGTAATTATCTCTGAATAAAGCTAAATTACAGATGTACTACTTCTGTAGTTAAAGGGAACTGGTTTATTTTTAGCTTCCTAACATGTGCTGGGTAGCTATTGCGATAGCCGTTTTTTGAACATTTCAAAATTTCATCAAATGTCGACGTTTTAGACCATTTTAAGCAACTTTTAAAGAATAAAATTTTTTTCCGTCTATGTATGTACGTACGTACGTTTGTTGGCAAGTTTCTGAGAAAACGGCTCGACAGATTTTGTTGAAATTTTGTATATATGTTTTAGGCATACCGAACAGAAAAATAACGGGCCGAATTTTTGAAAAAAAATTTTGGAGCGCCGTAACGGCATCAAACTTTTTTTTTCAAATAGCAACCTAAAATTTTTATTCTATTATTTGGAAGACCTTATTTTCCTGTGCTCAACCTACAAAAAATTGGGCCGGGTTATATTATCAAAAAACGGAGAAAAAAATTGTCAAAGTCAAAAAATTGTGTTGCATATGTGCAAAACGCAACGATCTTGTTTTTGAAGCAATTTAAACGAAATTTCTATGGTAAGTCCCTTTAATAAAAGCAAACAAAATTCATGCGCAAAAATCGTGTTGCGCATGCGCAGAAATGCAATTTTCTAATTTATGGAACAATTAAAACGAAATTTGGATGGTAGGTCCTCCTAATAAAAGAAAACAAAATGCATGCGCAAAAAATCGAGTTGCGCGATTTTTCACAACGAATAAATTAGAATGGTATGTTCGATAACAGTTCAAGAAATGTTTGACGTATCCTGAAATCGTGTAATATTGGTTGCATACAATTCCACGAATTGACGATTTCTCTTCATAGCATGAGCTAGGTACAATGCGAAATTTCATCAATCAAATGTTGACGTTTTAGATCATTTTAAGCAACTTTTAAAGAATAAATTTTTCCCGTCTGTAAGTGCGTACATACATATGTTGGCAATTTTTGGTTTCAGCTAGGAAGCTATTCTGTCAAGAATTTGACACCTGGTTTATTTTAGATAATTAGCACTATTTAATTCACTTCTTTATAATCAAGAATTAAGCTGGATTCACATGAATACGAAATCCGACGGATCATCCGAAATGCTTATGATTGGTCAATAATTTGAAATGTGCTTGACGTTTCAAACTACTGACCAATCATAAGCATTTCGGATGACCGTATCGTCGGATTTCGTATTCATGTGAATCCAGCTTTACTACAAATGTGTGAAGAGACTGAACCTGATCTATTTTGAATAGGAAAAGGCAATTTTCCAAAAACTTCTTTTTAAATTGAAAGCGGAGCTAGTGGAATTTGAAATTTTAAATACTTTTTAAAATTTAAATTTTTAGTACAATAGCTAGTGAAATAGTTTTAGCTTCCTAGCTCGAGAGGTAGTAGATAGCTATTTAATTGGCATCACCATTTTTTGGAATTTATCAAATTTTGACCTTTTTAAGGAACAAAATATTTTTCAGTCTATATGTTCCTGTGTACGTTGGTATAATTTTCCAAGGTGGCGGATTTTGTTCAAATTTGGGATATGTATACTAGGCATATGGAACCGAAAAATAACAGGATTGTGTAAAATGTTCTAAATCGCGTTTTCCCAATAACACGAAAGTCGGGAACGTCAATTTTACAATTGACTATCTACTTTCGCGCACTAGTGCCTAAAAATTCAACCAAATCTATTTAGTGCGGATCATAAACTAATAAGTAGTATGATGGAAGAGTAAAAAAGAAAATATAAATACACTTTACATCATTCCCTGTAGTACAGGGGCAAAAATAAGCTTAATTAAACCAGAAGTTTTGAACAATAAATTGACATTTTCAATTTCTAGATTTCTACTTTATCGGCATAGAGGACTTGATTTTTTCAAAAAAATTATAATGTCGCAAAAATCTCGCGAAAAGGATTTGAATTTATATAAATTCGATTTAACTAATCCGTGCAAAAAATAGAATACATGTTACGTGCGTGAACAGTATTTGCTTGATTCCGCCAAACTCACAGAGTTGTAATACAACTCTGTGGCCAAACTACGCGCTCATCTGCAAAATAACTGTTCCCGCACTAACAATGTAAATAACTATTTTGGAGCTCTGCAACGGCATTGAACTTTTTCTTCAAATAGCAATGTAACATTTTCACTAAATTATTCTGTGTACAGGGTGTTCCAAATTGCTTGTTTTCGATGTTTTTGGGGAATATTTTGAGAGTCATGCGGTGTCCACTTCTAGTAGCTACTTTTCAAAGCTGCCTAGTTTGACGTATGACTTACACGAATCTGGCCACAGCACAAAAGTCCAAAAATGCAATAAAAAGTTTTTGTTACTCAGTTGTAAACGTTGATTAACAAGACAAAACGCAAACGGGTTTAAACGCTACTGACTTGTAAAACTGACAGCTGACCTGTAAAAATTTTACAAGTTAGTAAACAAGTAATTTCATTGGCCAGAATTAATCGAAGTCTCTGTTACATGGATAACATGATATTTTAGACATTTCTTCAAGATCAATTTAAGAACTAATTATTTACGTTTACTATTGTTTACAAATAAGTAACAAAATATTGTACATTATACGCCAGGTAATGAATATTACTAACCTCGAATCGAACATTACTAACCTCGAGAATCTACTTTCCTCCCTCCTGGAAAAATAAGTGTTGTAAAACACAACTTCCTTACCCTTCAAAATGACAATTATGAGACTGATTACAATATGATCGTGAATAATAGTTTTTTTTGCACCAATAAATTCCTTATTTTTTTTCTAATTAGAAAAATACATAGCCATCAGTATGTTTGATGAGAAGAAAATTGACATAAATAGGGAAACCGCTATTCAGTCTTAAAAATGTGTATTAAATACAAGTGGACCATGGAATCCATAGTTCATGAGAAAAAAATGTTGGTTAATAAACGGATTAAATCGTGAATGTTATATTTGATATTCTTTTTCAGTTCATGATAGTCTTCATACCGTTGCAGCTGGTTATATATTGAAGAATTCATCCCCAACAGGACAGGTATCACAACTCATTGCTTGGAATGGTCAGTGGTGAAAGTACTAATGTCCCAGTTCCTGCTAATGAGGAAATAAACTACGTGTCTAGATCATCACTGGATCGAGATCTGCATTAAATAATGGTGGACAAAATGCTACTAAAAACCAGACGCCAAAATCGGGAGCTTGAGCAGATTGAAATATCCCACAATGAAAATTGTACCTTGAGTTTCTACTTTAATTAGTTTATGTTGTCATTTCAGTAATTTATTTCCAATAAAGGTAACAATGAAATTGTAATGTTATCTATTTACCTTGTTTCCTTGCCGACTTTTAAAGCCTGGCGTGTTTAATTGCCTTTTTACGCACGCTCAGACGTGTTTTAAATAGCAATTCTGATGCAGGTATAATAAATAGCTATTTATATATCAACAGAGCAAAGTAGGTATATTAGTTATTTATTATACAAGACGATAAAGGGATATTTTAACCATTGAGTGAAACAGGTATTAATTAGGTGTTTTAGTTAAACCGAAAAGAATTAATTTTAAGGTTTAAAGTCTCTTTCTATCTTTACACAATCATACTTCTTTTTCTAGGACCGATATCGTTATAATTCTTTCGCAGTTTTAAACTAGAATGATATGCGCTCTGAATTATGCACATATAAGGCCTTATCTGGTATTATTTAACAGGGATTACAAAATCATGCATTAATTATTCGCACAGGGCAAAATTCACTACGCGAGAAACTTTTTTGTTATTACTAGAATTGTATCACATATATCGAACGAATTGGGCTCAAAGGACACACAAATTTTCAGAAGGAATTTTTATGAAATGGTCTTTTTAGCGCATTTTTGCAAAAATTTTTTTTGTAAAAAGTAGCTTTTAATCTCACTTTGGCTGGCTGGCTGGCTGGCTGGTCGGCTGGCTGGCTGGCTGGCAGTAAATGCGCGCCCGTAGAAAAACGCTTGTAAAAAGACAAGGAGTGTACATGTAACTATCGGGGCCGTGTAATTAAGAACGTTAGGGATGGGGCTACAAGATTTGGAGTCGACGACATCTGGACGCCATCCCCGAGCGTATTATACTAACCTGGAGATTTTTCAGATTTTATCTATCTTCTTCTACAGTTTTTCTCCGATTGTTTTCAAATTGGTGTCGTCGGGAAGATCTTGTCAACGCGCACAACTCCTGCGTGGCGGAATTTTGTTTTTTGTCCTAGGGGCGAAATAAACCACCTTTTGCGCGGCGCGCTTCGAGGGGTAGTCGACTTTGGGCGCCCAAAAGTTTCTTACAGCGCGAATCGCGGTCTCTCTTTCTCGTGTCACTAATAGAAGGTCGAGCTATGTGAAGTACCCAAAAGTTGAATACGATTTTATGTCGGGATTTTAGCGAAATCTACCAAAATGTGAATTACGAATGAACGGGACGTCGGAACTGTGTATCGACAAAGGGAATGTGGTAACCCCCGACGAGATCTTACTGATGGTGGAGTCGAAACTTCAAATCCGAATTGTTGCGGGTGATCAGAAGTGGGTGTCGACAAAGGGAATATGGTAACCCCCAAAGGATTTTAATGATGGTGGAGTCAAAACTTCAAACGCGAATTGCAAGTGCACGGTAAGTGAGAAAATGGTACCGACAAAGTGAACGTGGTAGCTTTCGGCAAGATCTTATTGATGGTGGCGTCAATATTGGCTAATAGAATACTGATCTGCCACACAAAAATGCGCTGAAGTCCCTTCGATCTCACACGAGGACTTTGATCATTTTTTTCCTTTTTTCAGCAGTCTTAGTATTCCTGAAGTCGCGCTGACTTCATCAGGAATACGCGAACGCGCAAAGGAAATTATAATTTTTATTTTTCCAATGATTATTACTAACCGACTTTCAAGTTTGTAAGATTTAGAATATTTACAAAATTAAAAATATTATTTACAGGAACAGTCAAAAATATGGAATACATCTTTTTATAATCTTGGTTAATATTAATTTCACATTAGTGTTTTTACCTACAATTATGAAAGTTGTTTTATGACCAACAGAAGATTGCAGGTATATTGTCATCCTCTACATCAACATCATCAACGAATACTTCCATTCCTGTTCGCCATGAATGACGGTGACTTGCTCGCATTCAGTTTTACCTAACTTAACAATACACATTTCATTTTTGAGTAAAAAAAACAAAATCGTATAGAATTTTCACTTACCAGGGTAGACATCTATTTAGTTTTTTATGGTAGTGAGCTATTATAGTCTTAATTGTACAAATATTATGGTGCACACATAAGGAAACCGGGTTCCCTGCTTACTGGTTAGTCGGTACCGACTATGAGCTCTTGTTTGTATATAATATTTTTAATTTTGTACACGAGTTTAATGGTTCTCTAAATATTACAAACACTGTTTGAAAGTCGATTAGTAATAATTACTTGAAAACTGAGAATTTCGATTGCGCATTCGCGTGTTCCGGAACTGGTGAATAAATAAGGATTTAGCTCAATTTTGTATAATAAAGTGATGGATACCAAAATTAATTTTTGATAGTTGTCCATCTTGAACTTATAAGCTTTCATACAGCGAAAACCCGAAGTCGACACGAGGTCGTCTTCTCAAAAAAATTGGTACATAAATAACGATCTTGACCCAAAAATATGTTGGTCACCAAAAATTGAGTTTCCCATAAAAATTGATGAATAAATATCGACTTTGACATCCTTTGGGTAAACAATATTTTGTTGGTCACCAGAAATACACATGTATATATCATTTCTTGGTCATCGAGCAATCGAGTTTGATCTTTTTCTCAACTGAATTAGTGCATAAATAACGAATTTGATCGATTTAGGGCAACAAGGTGATGAATGCAGATTGCCATAGGTAGTTAATTTTTGATAGTTGCACATCTGAAATCCATAAGCTTTCATATAGCGAAAACCCGATAGGGTCTGAGTTATAGCACGGAACGATAGACAGACGGACGGAAATGTGAAGACATAAGCGCTCCACTTTCGTGGATTGCGCTAAAAACGAATTTCTTCAGCGGGTATGGTATCTGCATGGGACACAAGTAAATTATTAATATTTCGCCGGCCCGCTCTGCAGATTTATTTGCCCGCTCATCGTAGCTCATCTGGCTACGGCCCTGCTAAGTAGCGTCATTTGAAATTCGATGGTAGTGTGTAACTGTATGTCATAAATGAAAGACCTTTATTATTAGGCGCTTTCTTTCGGTGATCCAAACGCGTTTGGATTGTCAAATCACGTTCTTTCGAAGTGTGATCTTATAATCATGATTGCTAAAATCGTGAACAAACTGAACATAAAAGTATTTTGACACGAATTCCTAACCTATAAATGCAAGGATATTCTGGATATTTTTGCTCAAATGTTAGATTAGTCAATATTTGTATAGCATAATCGTGCACGTGCTTCCACTTGTATTTAAATTATTTTCATAATCCAAACAAAAAATACGTAATTCGAATGCAAATGTGCGCTACGTAAACTTAACCAAACTTTGATTCAAATTCGCGCGTTCTTTCGTAAAACGTGATCCTACGAATCACGATCTCGAAATCATGATTGCGAAGTAGCCGAAAGAAAGCGCCTATTATGACTGTGTATAATCACCTTACCCTGATCATTGAATACCCTGATCCTGCCAGCTCGTGCGTCACTGCGTTGTTCTAAAAATTCGAACTTGTAGAATTGGCAACCTTTAAACTTTAACATAAATAAACATTGATAGGAATGTTAGGTTATGTAATTCATGCAAAGAAATATTCCAAAAAATGATACTAAAGACAGATTTTCGTTATTGAGAACGCTCACGATTCGCAAAATCAATCAATATTCACACAACAATGTAGACAATAATCAAATTTGTTCACAATAACCAACGCAGCACCGTCATCATTGACGTGTACTGAAATTTGAAAACTGAAAAGAATTTCTGACCTCCGCGGCCTCCGGCCTTCCAGCGATAACATTCCTACTCGATTCTAATAAGAATAATGATTATAGGTAAATTACCTGTGTTGATTGTTAAAATTTGCATGTTTTATTAAATTCGCGAGCCTAAATATATTTAAGCTTTTATATTATCTTCTAGATCTCGGATTTATCTACCTTTAGTAACGACTGTAGCAGTAGGTACATAAAGCTATGCTTATCTATTTTTTTAATAGTAACGGATAAAATATTGCTTGATAAACATGACTTTGATAAAGCAAGCTATGTATACTTCCGCTTGTGTTTATTATCTTGTAGTGCCTGCCGTTATTCTACTGAACACGTAGGTATGATATCAGCGAGCTCTATTGATTTAACATTCTAGTTTCGCCTTTGAAGGTTGTTTTATACGAATGATATGGCGGAGAGCAGTTTTATACTTGTAACTGGTGGTGCTGGATACATTGGTTCACATACAATAGTTGAATTATTAAATAATGGTTACTCGGTTGTTGCCATCGATAACCTTGTGAATGCATATGCTGCCAAGGAACAAAAACCTGAGTCATTGAAAAGGGTCGAGCTGATAACTGGAAAGACTATACCTTTTTACAATATTGATGTGACCAATAAAAAAGCTTTAAATAGTGTTTTTCAGCAGGTAATTTAAATGATCAAGTCTCAATGTTGATTTGCCGATTGTCGTTTCAGTTCAAGATTGATTGTGTGATACACTTTGCTGCTCTAAAAGCGGTGGGCGAATCAGTTCAAATACCTTTGCAGTATTATCAAAATAACATTGCCGGATCCAATACACTTTTTCAGGTAGGTGCAAACATTCTGTATAATTAATTTCCTTTTTTATTGGAATTATGTTTAGTCGGTTAAATTACCTAACATTTTTTACAAGATTATGTTGGTCAAATCGGAAAAAAACGCATTAATTTATCTCACATTGTAATTAACGTCATCATAAACAAACAAAATCTTCAAAATATCAAAATATATTCTTTTTCATTGTAGAAAGCGTTATGTAGGCTTAATTTTTGTTTAAACTTCAATATACAGTTCAAAATGATATGTGACCTAGGTCATGTATTAAAGTAATGACAAGCATTATACCCCCGGAACCTCTTGAAAAAAGTATGTTTTGCTTTATCTAATCAGATTTTACCCTTTGATCTTGTTTCATTATTTTGCAAGTCGCTGTGAATCACGAATTTACTCCTATGACTAACAAGGCAATTGTACAGGTACCTACACAGGTCAAAATGTTGTGTTCACAAAAAACATCAGGACATGCTCAAGTGTCGGAGTAAGAGGATGATATAACTAAATTGCAGAGTACCCTTCTTAATTTATAAGTTCGTGACCCTACACCACAGCATAATATACCTACTTGCAGCACTTAAAATTGTTTTTTAAGTTGAATATCACATAGAAGGCTGGATTGCGAGTTTAGAACGAACATTAGACAAGACATGTGATCCACCCCAGGTGGGGGGGGGGGGGGAGATTTTATCCTTCATGATACTCTAATGAAAGGTATCAACTATACAGGGTGTTTTTTTGGGAGCTTTAATTAAACGTTTCTGGGAAAGTAAAGTAGGTTTTTGAAAATTGGTACTTAGGAGTTACTCTGAAGGCCGAAAAATATTTTCAAAATATTTTCAAAATGGTCGCAGTTCCGGAAACACCGGAAGTAGATAGTAACTTCGTTATTTTAAATGGCAACCCCTATTTTTTTATTGCATTTTTGGATTCTATGTGAAATGTCAGTTCTGTTGATACCCACATGTCGATATCTGCCATTTATGGTGAAGTTAGAACAAATTGAACAATACTGGCCGGATGCAGAATTTAGCTGAAAGCAAAGTGCCGCTAAATTTTATGAACCTGTATGAACTGAACAAAATGCAAAATCAGTAAAGCTAAATCAAGACACTATTTCGTTCGTAAACAGACTAAATTGCTGATATAAAAATGGTAAAACTGTTGTATTTCCAGCCGGGGTCTCTATACACGCTAATGGTGTCGTTAGCTTCAAACTTGAAATCGGACATCTCATTTTGTTTTTCAGTTTTTCACATAGTTCTTTTGAGGTTCAGTACACACTTAACATCAGTTTTCTGTTAATATTAAGGCAGGTGTATGGCAGATAAACTCACAATCTCATCACTTTATTGTCTGTTATTATCTTACATCATGTTATCTACATAAGTGTGGATTCATTTAAGTTCATTGACACAAACCGAAAGTAACTCTCTTATTGCTTCAAATTCAAAATATCTACTATTAGTATTCCAATTGCAGAGATGATTTTGAATTGAAACAATCATTCCAGAATTTTTTTTGTTCATATCTGGATCTCAAAAAGTTGTGTAGGTGTAGGTCAATGTTAGATTGTAAATAAAATTTTATCACATACAGTAACAATACCTCCTATCCATGTTGGCAGTCATTGAATGTTGTGTGTATTTTTCAATAAAGAAACATTGAGCTTAAAATGGTGTATCACCTACTATGGCTTCTGAATTTAATTTTTTGTAAAAATCGCAAGTAATTATTATGTAGCATTGTTATAGTAAACTTTGTATATGTTTCAGGTAATGAAGGAAAATAATGTGAAACGATTAGTGTTTTCATCATCGGCTACCGTATATGGTACACCTCAATTTTTACCCATCACCGAAGACCATCCCACTGGTCAAGGCTGTACGAATCCTTATGGAAAAACAAAATATTTTGTTGAGGAAATTTTAAAAGATGTCTGCACATCAGATCCGGTAAATATGAACACACTCACTTTAGCGTGCCTTTAACGCTATTTCTAGGAATGGCAAGTGATCCTGCTGCGTTATTTCAATCCTGTTGGCGCACATAAGTCCGGGTTAATTGGAGAAGATCCCAGTGGCATTCCAAATAATTTAATGCCGTATATTGCACAGGTATCCAACGAATATTTGTTAAATTACTTATGATAGATTGTAGGTTGCTGTAGGTAAAAGAGACAAAGTGAACATATTTGGTGCTGATTACGATACTCCGGACGGTACTGGAGTACGAGATTATATTCACATAACCGATTTAGCCGTTGGCCATTTGCGAGCATTACTCAAACTTAACGAAACCACCTTTCGCGGTTGCGAGGTTTATAATTTAGGAACTGGACGTGGTTATTCCGTCTTAGAAATGATCAAAGCATTTTCAAAAGCCTCAGAAAAGGAAATCCAGTATAACATATGTAAGCGTAGGGAGGGTGATGTTGCATCTAGTTATGCGGATGCGACGAAAGCGAAAAGAGAATTAAATTGGACTGCAGTGCATGATATTAATGACATGTGTACTGATACTTGGAAGTGGCAATCGGCAAATCCGAACGGATATGTTCAAAATCACAGTATTTCACGTTAATTGCAAATGTATAGATGTATAGGTCTCAATTGTATATTAACAAGCATTTGTATTATTGCATTTATCCCAGTGGAAACTAAAATATATTTTATTGTATCAACAATTTATAGTTTTCTCATTTTTCTTTCTATGTGATAACTCTCATTTAAAGTATGTTCAAAGAGTATGACTTAGCCATATAGCAAAAGTCTCGAAACATCAGTAATATTAAATATATGTTTCTTTAATAATTTACTATTCGCTAAAATGCAGTTCGCTACCTCAGATATTCTTGTCATATTGTAGAGGTTGTCTTGGAAACTATTTCGCCTAATACTTTTAACTGTTTATTTCGCAAATGCAAAATTGATGTAACCAAAAAAATTTGTCAGATTATATAGATGCCTTAAATTTTCTTCCAGCCACAATACCCAGCCGCATGTTTTGAAATCAAACTATAACCTTGGCTTAAGGCAGGTCCACATCAAGCATTTGCGTTGTGTATTGAATTTTGTTAAATGTGGGCACGCCGAGGGGCACGTATACCTACTTACCACATAAATATTTATCTTGTGTTTTATTTGCTGAATCGACGTGTTCACATTCATTCGTCACGAAATTATTTGTGTACGTTTTCGTGCGGCACATAGTCCACATCGGGGATGGTGCCCACCACTGATTAAAACTACAAGTTTTGTGCGTGCGAAGAGTAAGAAAAATAAAATGTATTACGTACAATTCTTGGTTCCGCGCTGCAACATGACTGAGAAACCCAGGAAAAATCTGACATAACACCCCACCTACGGTGACAAAACGCAAAAGAGAAATACAAAAAAAATTAAACATCTCAGCTTGTTCAATGAAAATCAGGTAATCAAATACAGTTAAACAAACTATAATATATAAAAAGGAGATAGACAGTGACATAATATATACAAATGAAATACATACAAGATGAACCAATTATTAGTACAAAAACACATTTGCGATTCAATTTACAACAAATTCACTCGTAAAATGATAAATTGCATGTACCTAAAGAACCCCAAATCGGAATGGTTCTGCTGCAGCATCGGTTCAATGATTTAACATGAAAATCTGCAGGTGGAAATGCAAGCAGTATTCAGCTTAAAGTCCATTATCACAGAAACAAACCCATATAAGTACTAAACAAAAGAAAAGTTAATTAAAATGCCCCTTTTCAAATATTGTGTTTTTTGCATAGAATTTTCTAATTTTTAGAAATTATATGTCAGTCTTTATTTTCGTGTACCAGTGACAACTCTGTTTACAGTAAATGGGTTTAGATAAGAAAATAATAACATTATTTGTTTACGTTTTATTAAACGACGAAAATTTGCATCTTAAAAAAGTGGGCGTGGTTCGTGGAAACGCTTGTTTATAAAAGGAAAAGTTGGTTTTGACGCTCCTTTATTAGAGGATACCTCATTACGCTGAAAGACGTTGAGTTTCGATCATATTTTTGAATGCAGATAGTATTTAAATGTACATCGTAGTTATATTAATTTAAAAAAATGTCTGTTGTACCGGTACAGTTTTGCGTCCGTTAAATTCATTATAAAATTGAGGGTCGACCTACATAATTTTTTTTAATCAAGTGCACAGAAGACCATCATCAGAACCGGCCATGGGCAAGAACACGTCTAAATTACAAAAAGAAATCCGTATACCGTCAAGATCAAGTGTTTGAAATCTAAGCCTGCTTTTACATGAGGATACTGTATGGGAGATACTGTTATCCGAGATACTATTTCGGCGATGAGTGGCGTGTTAATGAAAAAGTCTCCTCGTGTAAACAGTTCCAAATGAACCAATAGCCCACCCGTCCACCAAAATTGTAAAATCGCCAGGCGACTGGGACTAGCGAGCGACCGAAATTGAGTCGCCGGGAAGTATAAATGCGTGTGTGAACGAACGGCTCATAAGACGCAAATGTTTTAGGTGTATCCGGGCCGGGCGACTGTATATCCTCGTGTAAAAGCGGTGACATTGTTTTTAGTGCACTTCTGTCTGTCTGTCACAAAGATTCCGGAACTACACCATGCACTTACCTATAGACTTGGTATTGGTGTCATTCGATCAGAAAGTAAAATTTCATGATTCTATTAATGTCCATAGGGAGTCTAGTGTAATTTCGGCTAGCCGAGTGTGATGTAAAAATTGTCTGTGAAAATAAATGCAATTAAATTTTGTTTGTAAATCTAGATTTTGTGACCTTTTGAAGTTATTACGAATTGTTTCAAAACTGAACATGTTTTCTGTAAGAAAAAAAGTAGCAAGACTACATGTATTGACAGTTGAAATCAAACCATACGATGGATCAAAATTAATGTCAAGAACAATTATTGAACGCCCGTTACTTTATTTACTAGTCCACCCCGTAAGTAGAACATCTATACAGTACACACTCTGTGTATGTGTAAAAAGTTTATATAAGAACAACATAATTTTTTAAAAAAGAATAAATGGAATATTCAATCGATTATTAAATAAATAATAATCTATGCTAAGATTATGGCTGTTTGTGCAGCAATTATTGGTAAAGATGTAAGTAATTTGACCGATTGATTTCGTCTGATAATTAAGTTAGGTTACATTTTCATTATTTAACTTTTTAGAACTCTCCAAAGTATTTTACATGCGTAAACCCAGACGAAGAATTGTCATTCCAGTACAAAGTATTATCTTCTTTAGATGTAGTTGAAGAAAAGCTAAATAATGGAAATAAATCGGATTCACGAGAATTGTACCTGGGACTACTATATTCCTTAGAGAGACACAAAATGTATCCTTTTTATACACTTTCTTATGTTTATTAACCTTGCGGCAGTTTATTAAATATGTGCCATCGTAAAATACATAAAAGGAGTTATTTGCTGTCATTTATTGTTTTAATTTTAAAAAGTTTCATGTGTGGTGCAACATAAATTTGCTATTTGCATTAACAATAATGAATTTTTAATATAGACCTTTCACTGTTGTTAAGAGTCAAATTATTTTGTTATGAGCTGTAGCGCAGTAGACCAAAGTGTCACGAAACAAAGAGAACTCACATGAATTGGTCGGTTTCTAGATTCTGCCAATGCACATTCTACAACACTACTATTAACAGCTATTGTGTGGTCAAAATTATTCATTAAAGTACCTATATCTAAAAACCAAAGAGTTGACTTTTTGGAAGATGGTTTTTAAAACCCAGAAAGCCAGTTTTTCAAACACCACAGACAAATTTTCAGACACAGACTGCTACAAAAGTAGTACTTTTGAATAGGTAGCTGGAAGTATTTGAATTTTTTCAATGCTTTTTAAAGTATTTGTACTTATATTTAGTATTTGATTATGTTGCTTAAAAGAGCATTTTAATATTTAAATACGTTTGATTTTTAGAAAGTAGTATTTTAAATACTTTTAAAACATATTTTTCTCAAGGTCTGACTACCAGTGGTGAACGAAAAACTGATGTATATGTATACCGCTATATACTATTGAATAACCAAGGGATAAATTAACAAATGGAATAAATTCTGATTACCCGGAAGGCTTTGACCCTCTATGAATGGAGCAAGTAGTTATTATTCAATTGAATGTGAGAGCATGAATTTTTGCAGATAGTTACAAACATTCTATTGTTTTCAACATTAAAATATGCAGTATCTGCAAGTCGGTAGCTCTTTTCTGTGTAAGCATATAAATGCGGGTAGATTTAAACATACATTTTGTACATTGTTATTTTCTCTTAACCAATTTCAGTTATGGTTATGTTACAAATACGAAAATAAAATTCATCATAGTAAAACTAATACATCACTACGTGACAATGAAGTGCGGTCTGTACGTATTTTACCTGCCAAATTAATGTTTTGTACTTTGTAAGATTTGATTAACACATGCATAGAGCATAACTAAATTGTTGAATTTCTACCTGGGATGTTTAGTCGATCCTTGCTTTGATCGTTAATTAAGTAAATAATTGCAACAAGTTGGCGTAAAAAACCATAGATTCTCAAAATAAGAAATTAGAAAAATTGCATTAATTTTAAACACTCATTCTGTTACTATTTTGTAAAAAAAATTAATCGAATGGAGTGTTTTACCACTGTGTCTCAATCCATTTGGTTGCGTAAATGGGTAAATTGCCACTAACCCGAAACTACAATTTTTCTTGTCTACCAGTTTTTCATATTTCTACTGTAAGGATGACGTGTTAAATGTACCCATCAATATCTAATACAGTCACTAATCGCCAATTGCACCGTCAACATTAAGTATCCCTTAAAGTTAAGCATAACTTAAATTTAGGTTTATTTAATGTAATGTTCTTTTAATTTTAGATGTTTCGAAAATTACATTCAATTTATGCTGATAATGTCTGCAATCCATTTTACATTCCCGATGAACCAATCACTTCAAAGTAAGAATTTTATGTATTTTTACTGAATCACTGACTATATGTTTGTAGATCGTTCGACAAAAGTGTCAAGCATATTATAAGTGGAAATTAGAATAGCTATATATTTTATAAATAAAATTTAAGGCGTTTACTCTATTACATCATATACCTATGTTCTAATAGTCATCAAATAAATTTATAAATCTTTGTGAAAAGGGGAGGGGGTAACACCCTTTTCATTTATTTGAATGTACTGTTATTTAATTTTGAAACACCTGCAACTTCTGAATGGACAGTTTTTTATACAAAGACATACCTATAGAACAGTAGGACATGTCTTTTAGTGATGATTTAAGGCTTATGTTTTGGAAGGTAATATTGGGAAGAAGACATCAGGCACTGGTTGTCGGTAGGAAATGAAAGCTGAACGCCGCCGTTCTGAAAAGAATAGTAGGTAGGTATTTTATTAGTCTGCTTATGGAAATAAAAAATGAAGAAACGTATTCGCCTCAAGGTGAGCAAAGATGTAGTATTATCTTTGAGGCGAGTAACTTTGGCGCATTTTCCATGAATTGATCAGTACTTTCCCTGTGGTTAAAATGTCATAGAAAGTACAGAAAGAATTTTAAGATCCACTATGCCTACAGCTTTTGAGCTTTTTTAATGGAAGCAATGTTTGATATCATCGTTATTGAGTAAAGTATCTTTCGCTCTTCAACTATATCAGGGTTGATATCTTTGTTTTTAAACACACATTCATTTTTTTTTCAAGTAGGTTACTTAGTCCATATGTTCCTATACATACATTTGCAAAATTCCCTGTATTTCAAACCCAAAGGCATTACCCACAGATCCGTATACTGGTTCGTGGTGGTTTTTGGTTTATTTGTTGAAACCTGAGCCTACTTTTTTTAGTTTAGAATTAGTGAAAACTTGGCAGACATAATGACAGTAACATTTTCTATTATGTAACTAAAATAAATTAAAAAAATTTCTTTTAAGGAGAATTGCTGGACCAGAAGAACGCCCTTAGAAACGGCACTAATTTTAATGCTGAGTGTTGCGGTTCCATTTCTTGTTGCGATTTCAACTGTGTACATTGTAGTAAGTAACAAAAATGATACAACACAATTAGCCTGTGAAGAGCACTGCCATCAGATTCGACATCGTCAAAGGGGTAAGATATATACAATGATATTAGGATAAGGTTCAGCCCGTTCAGCGAACGTAATGAGAAATGGTAAGAGAATTTACGAGTAGATACAGAAACGTTTTAAATCCACAAAACAAATTGTGTAGAAGTATATTCTAGAGATAAACATTTAACGTCTTTGTGACAAAAGCATTTTTTCTAACTCTTAACAGCTTCTTGAAAATTCACTCTTGGATATATGGTCATAGGGAATAAAATACTCACTGAAACGGTTATTTCTTTAAAATTTGAGAGGTTGCATATGAAAATTTCGAATGTTTTTTGCTGACCCGTCCTTGCTTTGAGTATTTCTGATTGCATTCTAATGTATAGTTATCTTTATGGTTTTGGTTTTTCCAAATAATAACTGATCATGATGCGCCTATTGCAGTATGAATAGGTATTGTTACCTGTAATGATTAAACCCCGAAGGCCCAATCTTCAAATGAGTAGGTATAACTTTTATTGGAAAAGTGATTTTAAAAAACTGTTGACAATTTTGTTTCTTAACGCATAAAGTAGGTATATGTACACACAAATTTCGTGAAATTCTCTCCATTTTCGTTTTTTGAATTTTCAAAAACTAATTTCAATTTCGTGATTCAAAAACCCCAGATATCAAATTTCGTCGAAATCAGAATTTGTTTTCGCATCCCCATGTAGAGGTGCGCCCTTTCGTGGTATTGTAATGGAACCGAATTCGACCGCTAAAATTTTAAATATTCGCGGTTCCTATTTTCTAAAAGGAAATAAAGTAGCGATCCGAATGTATTTTTTTTTAGAATCCGCCCTTGGCCGTCGCGAAAGAATTCAAAGATTATGCTTTGTTTCGTCTCCGTGGAACACTTGTTTTTTTCCCGCTGCCCTACATTCAAATGGGCCATAATTTACAATTAACGTCCCAAACCTAACGCTATACGAGGGAAGTTAATGATCCATATCGACCCGACGACTCGGAGCGCGTCGATGTTAAATGTCTCGATTTCGATTTTGACCAAAAAGGGAATTTTAGGGGAGACGTATGTGCGCTTTAGTCGAAGTCAGTGGTAATTTTTACGTTTCAAATACCCACTTACTGTGAGCGTCTCAACTATTATTCAGGTGCTGTATTTTTCTTCTTTTATCTTTACATTTATTGCATCCATCTATTATTTGCCAAATTAACGACATTCTAGTACAGCATGGGCATTGTCATTTATAGGGCATTACAAATACAAATTGCTCTTTTAGAATTATACGATCATACTTTTAATTAAATGCGATACGGTACGGCAAGATTCCATTGTGGTTTCCTACGTGAATATTTTATTTATTTATTTATTTAACCAGAAACCATACAGAATAAAAATTCCAATTACATGGCACTGGGGCTCTGAACAAATATTAGGACTAGGATCTAATTTTATTTATTATTGAATTTAGGGGATCGTGAAAAAAGTCGATATCATTAACTGAGGATAACTTATTTAAAGCGATCAAGATCTTAATAAGTGGGGAAGTTGTGTTGTTAACTACAAAAATAGTATTATTTTGCCTTAGCTTAACAAATGGTACCTTAAGCTTAATTTCTTGAAGTAATTCGGAAGAGTATAACAAGTTGTGTAAAATTTTGAAGACAAACATTGTGGAGGCAATGTACCGTCGGGTTTCTAACCTCGTTATATCTAAGCCGAAAGTACTATTTAAGTAATTAAGCTGGGTACCGTAAGAGATCAAATGTGGATAATTTTGGGTTGACCTAAAAAACATTACTCGGATGAACTTTTTCTGCACTTTTTCGATCATGTCTGAGTATTTGAGAGTTTGAGGAGACCAGATACATGCAGCATACTCCAGCTTGGATCTAATAAACGCATTATATAAGGTTAGCATTGTCTGTATATTCATGAAATTGAGTGTATGCCTGATAACGAAACCAAGAAGTTTGTAACACTCATTTGTTAGGTATTCAATGTGTAAGTTAAAGTTAAGGTTGGTATTGAAAAACACGCCCAGGTCCTTAACGGAGGTGACTCGTAGTAATACCTTTCCATTCATCTTATAGTCAAAAAGTAAGGGATTTTTCGATCTAGTAAAAGTAAGGACTTTACACTTATTGATATTTAGTTTTAGTTTATTTTTGATACACCACTTAATTACTGAGTTAATGTCCTCTTGAATATTTAAACAGTCACTTGGGGATTGGACTTTATTAAAAAGTTTTAGGTCGTCCGCAAATAGTAGTGCTTTCGAGTTTTTTATCACTCGCGGTAAATCATTTATGTATAAGAGAAACAGAAAAGGACCAAGAAGTGTTCCCTGGGGAACGCCTGATGAGGGATAAAATTCGGCTGAATTCACACCATTGAATTTCACTCTTGTTTTACGGAAAGATAAATATGATTTTAAGAATTTGACGGTCGGATTACTTACGCAATTTAAAACAAGTTTACGGAGCAAGACTTGATGGGATACTGTATCAAATGCCTTCGCAAAATCTGTATAAACACAGTCCACCTGGGCTCTCTCATCCAAGGCTCCTGCTGAGAAATGCGTAAACTGCATTAAATTTGTAATCGTTGATCTGTTCCGCGTGAAACCGTGCTGTTGATCTGCAATTATACTGCTGAGATGGGAATAAAGTCTAGTATAGATCACTCTTTCGAAAATTTTCGCTATTGCTGGTATAATTGCAATTGGGCGATAATTCTCAACTAATTTTCGGCTTCCACTTTTGTGAATTGGTGTTATTCTGGTGCATTTCCAAGCTTCAGGGAATGTACATGTTTGCAAAGCTAAATTAAATAGATGTTGTAAGGGGGTTACCAATAAAGATGCACATCCTTTCACGATGTAGGGTGGGATTCCATCTTCGCCTATAGCCGACCTCGGTTTCAATTTTTTAATTGCTTCCAGTATCTCGGAATCATGTAACTGAGTCAAGTGCAATTTGGATAGCACCAGGTCCGATTCCACGTCATCTTCCGGGTCATCGTTCCTCTCCATAGTGTAGACTGACTCGAAGAAGGATGCAAAGGCGTCCGCAATGCTTCTGGCGTCCGTTAACGAGGTGTCTTTGTACTCAAAAACTCCAGGTAGTTGACTATTCTTCCTCAACGACTTGATGTAGTTCCAGAATTTATTGGAATTCTTCCGCAGATCCATTTCAATTTGATTAATGTACCTCTTATGAGCAATGTGGATCATTCTTTTGAGTTCTTTTCTGGCTTCAATGAAGTCTTCCGATGGGCCCTGTAACCGAAACTTATTTTTCTGTTTGATTTTCTTAATAATGTCTATATTAAACCAGCTAGGATACTTATTGGCACTCCTAATTGTAACTTTGGGACACATTCATCGAAAATGTTCATTACCGTTTGATTAAAGCTAGTTACTGCATCATCTACCGATTTGAAATTCTTCAGGATAAGAGACTCCTTCCAATTGATATCGCGAAAAAGGACGTACATTTTAAGAAAATCTGCTTTTTTGAAATTGAAGTTGGTTAATTTGGTAATTCGCTTAGCTGGTCTATGGACTTTGTAGACTATTTCTAGTGCAGGATGAAGTGGATTAATTTTATCCAGTGAGTCGACAGCAGATTTAATTTCCGCGTTTAAGTTAGTTAAAATTAGGTCAAGGGTTCTATTATTGCAGTTTTTTACCGTATTAATGAGTTTTAAGTTGTACATCGAAGCTATATTTTTAATTACTTTGCATTTAGCACTTTGCTACTGCTATGTGGTTTTCTGCTTTACAGTATCGCTGTAGACAAGTGGTCCACGATTGGTGGCACTGATTTTACGCCACAACCCTCAACAAATTCATGACCGATTTACGTGTTTTTATTTATATTCTTTGGTTGCTTTCAGGTGCAGTTGTCTTACCAAACAGTGCACTCTCGCGGAGTACCCCTACTTTTAAAAAAGAAGACGCTATTGAATTCATCGCTTCTATAACTCAAAAGGCCAGCAGTTCCGATGTATTCACCTTTCTATGTACAGGTACCGTGATAAACTTGCATTGGGTACTCGGTAGTATTACATGCGACCAAACGGAACGACTACCAGGGGGAAACATTGACGATTTTTCGTATTACGCCAGAGCTGGTTCTCTTAACTGGTTGGGTGGAGATCTGCGGAAGGTACACAGCACAACATCTGTTGGATTACTCATACTGTACAAATTGGCAATTCCATTTGAGAAAGATCGTGTTGTACCGGTACATTTTCCTGGCGGAAAATCATACTTCGGCGAAGTTTCAAGTATGGAAATGTACCGATGGAGAATTGAGAAAGATTATAGCGCGGAAAACATCCAAAATGCCGAATTAGATCTGGAACACGTTAAAGAAACGGTAGTGCCGGAATGTGATGTTACTCCGAACGTACATTGCTTTGTAAGCGAAGAAAATCTCCCTTGCGGGGATTTTAAAGGAGGTATAGTGATGAAATCAATGGTTATAATGGGCGTTGTCCTTCAACAGTATTGTAAAGACGATGGGAATTACGTAACTGTTTATGATTTCTCGAAAGATGTTCCCACTTTCATTGAAATGGGAATTGAATTAATGCGCGAAGCCGAGGGTAAAGATTGAGCAATAACAATACTGCCGTTATAGATCGATAAAAAGGTAGGTGTTCCAAGAGATTGGAATGAAGTGTTCTCGATTTTTGGGCATGTTTGTTATTTTGCATTATGTATAGATCTACTTGTTGCACTTTTATCGTAATAAAGATTGAGATACAACAGGTTTATTTCAATTATATTAGGTGAAATTGATTGCAGGTAAGTGTAGATACGTTTTTGTTTATTTGAAGGGAGTTCTATGGGTAGGTACCCATCGCACCTGCAAGTTAGTAAAAGAGACCAAAAAATCGGCGATATCGCACAGATATTCAAAAATAATAATTTATTTAATTATTTAATTTTACTCACAAAAAAATAGTATATTGTTTACCAGGGACGAGAAGTGACTTTTCGTTGACAAGTCGGAAGGTTTACGTACGAGGGGCCTAAGGCGCCTCGACGAGTACGGAAATTCCGACGTGTAACGGATCTCACTCGTTCTTGGTAAATTATGGTTACTCTTTGTTGGTAAACACTATTTTTTTTATTAGTATGCTGGAATGTGTTGTGGGCTAGGTGACACAGGTATAGAAATCAAAAGAGGCAGAGAAGTGGAAAGGAGGCAGAGAAGTACTTTCTCACACTTGAGATGAGAAGTCAAAACGACTCCTTGGACTAGCGCCATTAACATCCAAAGCCCACGAGCAACGGAAATCGTGATAGCAACGATATCCAAAAATTACCAAGAGCAGATACGTTTTAAAATTGTACACCGGGAAAATTCTTCCTGTGCAGCCACGAATGAGAGGATTTGATGTCGTCGTCTTCAAAGTAGTAGTCTTGGTTTTGAAATTATAAGGTCATTGGAAATGGATACTTTGGGATGCCTTCTGACAACAACTTTGAAAATTTAAATGTAAATGAAGCAGAAATTCCTACCCCCAGATTTATAATCTCAAAACAAAGTCATTGCGGGTTAACTAAAAATGTGTAAAGTAACTAAAAAATGCATGATGTGTATTGTGAAATGTTAAAAAAAACCTTGGTAAAATAAACACCTTTTTAAATAAAAATTGGTGCGGAGCTTCTATCCTACTTTCATTTCCTGGGATTATTCCAGACCTTTTCTGCAGATAAAAAATGATTCCAGAGCTTTTAATGATTATTTGCCCAGGTTTATTCCAGAACTTTTTAACCGATAAATGTTATTCCAGAGCTTTTAGCGAATTTCCAGAGCTTCCTAAGATATTCCAGAGCTTTTTTCCGAACTAAAATCATTCCCGGGTTTTCTCCCTTTTATTTTAGAGCACTTTCAAACAAGCAGATAATAAGTAAGTATTTTTATAATCTTTTAATTACACATGGAATGAGATTCCTAAAAAACAACATACAGTTTAGTAAAAAGGGCATTAAAGACTCATGAAATTACAAAAATTGCCTTAAATGTACATGAAAAATTTGTGTAGGCGTTGAATTTTCAAATAAACAGAAGCCCCAAACTATTTGAAGGCTAAAAAAACCAAGATTCAACCAAGATTCCCACAAGTGTGTCAGAAAAAGAATTTGAATTTAAAAATTAATCCAATGTTGTTCCACTCGAGTCCCAAAAAATGAGTAAGAAAACGGAGAAATTAATTAATGTTGTGCTGTTGCAAAATTAAGTGTTAGGACTTAGTTGTCCGAGGTCGTTGAATTTAATTTTGTAAAACGCAATACTTTAAAATGAAAAAAATGCTTGATAATCATTGTAGATCCATTGATAACTCTGAATATGAACCCAAAATATTAATTACAAATAGATTGGTTTTTACCACAAGATGATCTTCAACCTTAATTAAATTGTCCGATTTCTTATTGACCACAATACCGAAAAGCAACAAGCAGATTTTTAATTTTGTTCTAAGCAGGCTCATACAGCGATAGTGAATTGTATGGTTTTTCCTTATGTCTACTTTTAAATGACAAAATACTTCTAACGGACGCCTAATTTTATGCAGCCAAAATAACTTCTAAAAACAAATAAACGTCTGACGGCGGGTTGCAGGAAAGCGAATTATAATGAAAATCCTAGATTATTTGCCAAATCTGAGTTTAAATAAGAATTTTGACATTTGATTGGCTGCATACTGCAGTATAAAGCCAATCAAATGTCTTAATACCGGATTAAACAATAATCCTGGATTTTTTTGTGCAACTGGGCCGACTGCCATATTAATTAATTTGAATATTGTTGCTTTGGCTTCACAGAAAATAAATATCTATACCAATTGACAATATCAACTTTTTCTTCAGTTGCATAATACATCGCACACCGAACGAAAAAAAAATACGAAGCCAAAGCAACATATTCAAAATAATTAATATCTACGACAGGATCTTTTTTTTTAAGTTACTTTGGTTGCATAAAATTACGCGCATAATCTTATTAACTTGTACTTGTTAAAAGTGTGCAATATTAATATACGATGTTTGCTTTGCGGTTAACTGCTAATTCGCTAAGTGAAAATGTAATCTAATAATAAAAGATAAAACGCTTTATTAACACGCGCTTACTAACGTAAACTTAATCATGGTGGAATCGTATTGGACTTTCACAATACGCGTACTGGTACACGTACAATCCCACATATATACAGGGTGATTCCTATAGTACCTGCCACCGTTTGGGAGCGTGTAGGTGGTGCGTAGGGGAGTATTTTGATATAGGACACTTGGGGTCGGAAATCTAAAATAAGGGGGCCAGAGCCAAATTTACCTTCTGGAATTTCGCGCCTGTAGGTAGGCAACCCAACCGGCCGGCGGTGCACACGGAGCGATCTCAGGCGGCGATGTGTGGCTGACACTTGATCAGAATTTTGTTTAACCCCACGAAATCCCGTCTGCAACGACGCGTATCAAGTGAATAAACACTATGGCAATAGTATAATAATAGTTGGCTAGATGTAGGAAGTGCATTGAGATTTGAGAACAACGGTGGCCACGTTGAACACTTGTAAACGTTATTGCTTTGACTGTCGTTTTCCCTCCTTCCCTCCCATGTCGCTTCCTCGCGCTAACTCGCTCTGCATCGCTCCGCGCGAAACGTCGGTCGGTTGGGTTGCCTACATACAGGCGTGAAATTCCAGAAGATAAATTTGGTTCTGGCGCCCTTATTTTAGATTTCCGACCCCAAGTGTCCTATATCAAAATACTCCCCTACGCACCACCTACACGCTCCCAAACGGTGGCAGGTACTATAGGAATCACCCTGTATATATATGCAATCCCATTGAGTTCACGTGACATTACAATCTGCGTTTGCGCGTAATTTAAAGTTCAGTTATATTGTATTCCTTATTTCTTTTAAATGCATGCTAACACATCCAACAGAAAAAGACAACAATACAAAATGTGGCCGATAATTTGCCATAAATTTACGAGGTTGTTGATATATCATTTGGCATTTAACGTAATATTTGTGTATTTTTTGAAGTGAGCGATTCTTCCTTCGTTTTCGCTCAGTAAAAGTTGTGTTTTTCTTTTCTGTTTTGACATGATTAATTGAAGTATTATGTGAAATGGCAGAAACATGTACGGTCGTGCGGTTTTCGAAAGATTCTTTAGTTCGAATTGATAATCTAAAGCAAAATGATTCTTCCGATAAATTAAATGAAATGCAACGGACTTTCGGTATATTTTATATGATATGCATTAGCCTATCCATCATAACCTACATTGCCGATTTGGTTTTGGCTTGCATATTGTTGTACTTTTATTCTGTGAAGGGTTATGGATTATATTTTACGTTGACGTTAACTTTTCTGTTATTGCCCGCATTAATTATGAACGCTGTTAGCATGAGGTGGTAAGTTGCTTTAATTTACCAATTTTTTAACATAAATATAGCTCAAGTTGCACATGATTGCATTGAACGTGATGAGGGAAATTTAAATTCCAATGACGTAAGACGGAGAGGTTGTACTTGAAGAACAGTGATGAAACACAAACAAGTGGCTCGTGCTGTCTTTCTTGCTTCAACACTTCAAAATTTCCATTGCTCACTTTGACTAAAATTTGGATGGGAATTCCTGTAATCAATTTTAAGTCCCACACCATATCCTCTACGTTTATCTAAAGCACTCTTTCCTGTAATGTGGTTAACTATACTAGACGCACCATGATTATACAAAAGTATACATGTAAATTATATCTTTATAATATCAAATAATATAAATAATATCTTCGTAAATATACATTGGAGTAAGTACCAATTTTGTGGAAAAATGATCCAAATAAGTGATTCTCTAGGTGATTCGGCATTACATTTCTTATCAGATCACAATTTTTAGGGCATATTTTAAACAGAGTTTTAAACAAATTTGAAAAAAAAGCGCCGCACTTTGTCCATCTGTCTTTATCTCAGATGGCAGGGTGTGTTGTTCAGTTTCGAGTTCAGTTTCTTCATAGGTAGGTCTGAGGGTAGGTCATATAGGTATCAATTTATCAAAGGAAAGTTTATAATATCGGAGGGCGAACTTCTCCCTTTCAAGCTTTAATCCCTGTAGCAACCTCTCAGGTGGAAAATAAAGGGGTAGAGGTGAAAAGTTCTGTTACTACAGCAATATCCGAGGCAATAATATCCCCTCGAATATCCCATACTACTTAGTATATTTGACTTTTGGTTGTATGGCAGTAGCACTTAATCTAAGGCTCTATCTATGGTATCTCTAAACAATTTTTCCTCGAATTTTTCTCTCCTATTTAGGTACATGACCAAGATATCAAAATCGTAGAGTAACCGCCCAAACGTAGTTATTCTTTCTTTGCCAAAAAAGTGAATCTGATTTTTATGACCACATGCATTTTGGCCAAGACATCAGAATCTTTACACCAATTTCAGTGAAAAAATGACTAAACACAATAGTTCGATGCCCAGGAAGTGAAATTGGCACATTTTTTTATTACCACGTGTGTTTTGCCCAACAGGTCTGAAAATCGGTATTTTCCTACTTTTGAAACTCTATAGGTACCTCGCTCTATACTGTTCTCAAGAGATACGGTTTGGAGTAGTATTTTACTTAACAAGAACCAGGGAGTGCTCCTAAATAGTGCAATTGGTTGTTGCATATTTCATGACCACTTGGTCAGTTGGTGCACCTAAAATAATGTAGATAAATTGATTTTCAAAACAATGACAGAGAGGGGTTGCCAGTGCCACAACCCAAAGAGTTCCCAAGACTAATACCCCAAAATTCCGAGACTACATTAAAAGTTAAAACTCCCAAAGACTACGCAAGAAATTCAAGGTTACACCTCTGAATTTACGGACCTGAGAATTCCCCAACAAGAACTCCCAACGCTTTTTATAGGCTTTTATAAATTTTACAGGTGTAGTAAGCTATTTCCTTGATTATTAGTCATCTCGATTAGTGAAAAAGATGATTATCCTTAAATAGAAAAATTTTATCTTAATTATGCACTTAAAAATTTAAAAATACCACAACTATAACTTCATCAATGTTTTGTTTGATTCGGATTCCTGGTGCCTCAAAACGTGTATTTCCGTCAAAAAAGTGGGGAGGGGGGTCATTTTTTAACCCAATGCAATACCTCCCTTACTGACGTGCGGGTACTAAAAATGAGAGTAAGAAAAAGAAACATGTGTATAAAGTATTTTGGATTTGTCTCCAAATACAAATTTGACCTCGAACTAGACCTACTGTGTTTACGTACTTATGGTGTAACAGTCCACAAAACTTGGCATTGATAAATAAACATTATTTACAATGGAAATGAATAATTTAAATGAAACTCACACGTAAATAATTAAAATACACATAGTAAATATTCTACAAACTAAAATAAACATCGCTATGCTCGGTTAACTGTTTTTTTTCTTGTTATTTGTATTGTTGTGTAAACAACGTGAATAGGTACCAAAAATAATGACTGGACTATCTGTGTATGAGATTATTTCAATTTATTAAGTAAATCAGTGGGTTTATTTACGAAATTTAAGCAATAAGTTGGTTCGTTTCGAGGTTCGTTTCATTTGAATTTGTATCTCAATGTTGTTTCCCCTTTTCGATATTTTGTCAATGCGTAATTCTTGTTTAAATTTTGTCGCTTTTGTAATTTATTCAATTTAGATAAGGTGTTACAAGTTAGACACATCTGTTCGTTTGTGATAAGGAGTTTTATCAGGCAACAATTAATTAATGCACGTGCTTTATCGCGATTAAGATATCAGGTGGGGCCCGTTCCGTCGTTGATTGGATTGGAAATTTGTTAGACTTTATTTTATGGTGGAAGTGGATTAAATACTGGAGACAACAAGTAAACGCGGCTGCTGCTCTTAGTTTTTGGCGACGGTTAAAGAGCGTGTAAATTTGTTTACGCTAAATCTCGAGTAATCAGCCCACTTGTGTTTTGTTGAGGACGCAGTTCGTCCTTTTTTATAATTATTCTGTGCAGAAGCAAGTTAACCAAAGTTGTGCGCGTGTTGTTCGTTTCTTCCGTCTAAATAGCCACCGAAAATTGAGTCATTTAATTCAACAAGCCAGATACAAAATCTCAAGTTTAGTGTTATCAAGAACAAGTGATGTTTACTGAATCTATCAGCAAGTGTTTTTTTGTATCGGTGTTAAGTGCGCCTGAATATCGCTAACCTTGTACGACCAGATTATTTGGATTATTTAAAAAAACTGTAATTTTAAGATTTCTTATTTTATTTGTCGACCGCTTGCGTGCGGGGTAATATGCCCAAACAAGCTTATCTTTCCTTTGGGGATTTTAGTCTAATTTTTTTTGGTTCGGAATAAATTTGTGTCATTGTCAATCAATTAATTGTGTGTTTATTCGAATCCATTGTGCGACCCGGACAGAGTTTCCATGTCAGATTTTTCTATTGGTGTCCAAAATTTATTTCAGGTGTTGATCGAAATTTGTGTAAAAAATTCTTTGGAATTTTTGGAACTTGATCGATTGGAACTTAATCGTTGCATAAAATTAGGCATTCAGAAGAGTTTTTGTGATTTAAAAGTAGACCTGAGAATTCCCTATGATTTGAAGCATCCAAAGAAAAGCAAAAGGGAAAAAGAAGCGGAAATGTACCTATCTCAAACGGTGAAGAGTGTAGACGTTATCTGTCTAAACCCCAAAAATAATGACGGGGTGACTGTATCTATGAAAGAACGTTTCAATGTCTGAAGTAAATCCGGTGGGTTATTTATGATTACAATTAACCACAATATTCTTTTTTGTTTTGGACTATTTGTCATTCAGCCGGTCACATGGTGGTAATTTATTTCACATTTTATAACCAGGTGGGCGCTGTTTTTTACATATTCAATATAACCAATCGATTTGCTTATATTAAGAGGTGCTACATTTTACTAGGATCGGATCGCAACTAAGAAAGTTACTTCAATTGATAATTAGTGTCACTTGATAGTGTCTTATTCCAAAAAATTGTTCGTATGGGACTGCTCAACGCTCGTGTACTAAGTAAATAGGTTGGCCCTCATCGAGGTCATCATTAATGAAACACGAAAGAATTGAAAAAAAACCTTTTTTAGATCAGTAAGAAGGTCTCTTTTTATTGTTTTTTTAACGATAATATAGGATAACCTATGACTGGAACACTGAATATGTCTTCAAAACAACATTTCATTAAAAGAAGCTTTTTATGGTATCGAAAATTATGTACTTACCTAGTTTAAGTTTGTGGTCAGTGGCGTACTCCTGCATGGCCAAAAGGGGCACTTACAAAAGAATAACGTTTTTTTTTCAACTCAATCTAGTGAAACTATTAAATTAATTAAAACAACCGTTTTCTTGAATTAGAATTTTTCTCTTAAGTTTGATTATGTACTTAATATAATCCCTTTTTTTGCTCCTATATCCAAAAAATGTAATGAAAACTATTGATTGCCATTAAAAAAAATAAGCCCCCCTTGGCCATGCAGAAGTACGCCACTGACATATCTAAGGTACGTAGATTAGTAGCAAACCCTTTTTAATTTTGGATAGGTATCATCAAAAGCAACATGTTTTGTTGTTGTTGTTTATCAGTCTTCCAGACAACATTTTCACCCTGCATAGTGATTCTCGATTTGATCATAATAACAGTAGCTATAAGGAAGATGAAACTGTTTTCAGAATAGACAAAGACCTTGCTACAGTTTATAAAAGTGTCTTATTTGGAATATTACCTTCTCCAGCTATACTTCAAAGACGGATTTGTTAATCTTTGTATTCTAATATACTTTTTTAATACATTTGTTTAAAATAATAATGACATATACCTACATATATACATGTTTTATTCTCGGTTTTATTTAATCGTCAAGTTCTGTCTATAATTGGTCATTTTGCAGCCGTTTTTTTATAATATGAAAATGTTATTTATTGTTGTTAAAAATGCTTTGTTTATTTACATAAAACCTAGTAGATCTTTTAGTGCCACAAAATCATATTAAAATCTTTATGTATTTTGCTCGGTATTTTGTATGTTTATTTTAATTTTAAAAAATCGCTGTGCATATGCGCGTCTTTACTCGATATTCTGGGCCACGGTGACAGAAAAACTGAAAATGATAGATATCTAAATGTGTAACAATAAATCGAGCAATAAATCATTTAATATTAAAGGTACCATGATTGCGAGCATGATTGTCTAGAAATGGTATATGCGGGAGGGGATTCTGGACCGAGTATTCAATTTCTTCACATCATAACAGATGGTACAATAATATTCATTAAGTTCAGATTAATTGATATTCTGTTACTGACATTTTGATCGATTAAAAAAAGGTCGTCGGACGACCGCCAGTCAGTAAACATGAGAATAAGAATAAAACAAAAATTTATTTCCAGAGGTATGTGACTGTTTCAAACTAAAGCGCCCAATAATGTTCCACGAGCCTATGATTTGGCAAATTAATGGATACAATCACTTTGGCATCGGTAGTAACTTGGCGAACACAAACTATTTATATTTTTTATTTATTTTTAGATGTAATTTTTAAGACCGTTTTGACTAACATTGTTTTTTCTTCTTTTAAGGTACATTGTAGATCACGACGATCCATCATTGGGTAAAACTTCTGTGGCACAATGGATAGTTAGAATTTTATTTTTATTACTACAACTCGCACCCCTTCTAAGATATCTGGACACGTTCATCTATGGGTTAAGAAGCCTAATTGCGAAATCGTCCGGCTCCGATAATCTTCACAGCACATTGTATAGACGGATGCTGGATGAGGACTCAAATGGTGCACTGTTAAGACTATTTCATTGTTTTCTGCACTCGGCTCCACAGGCCATCATTCAGCTAATGTTTTTAATTAATTATGCGACAAATCCTTCTACATTACATGATTTAGGTATAGGTGAGTACACAATTTAAATTATACTAAAGCCACCAATAAACTGCATTTATAAAGGGAGATTAAAAAACCAATTCCACTTTCACTTTTTCTTTCAGATGTGGCAGTTTTACAATCCTGGACAGTATTATCTTCGTTATTGTCAATTGCTTGGGCCCTAACATCCTATCATCGTTCCGTGAGGTTCGCCAGGGACGACAAAGAAACCCTTTCAAGTATCGCTGTACTTATTGGATTTTGTTGGCATCTCATGAGTGCAGGTTGGTATATCCGTTTATAAATAAATCGACCAATTTAGGAAACTAATGGTATTAATGAACGAGTTATACCAGTTAGCATACTTTATGCCATTTCGAAACCTTGGCACCAAATTACGTCTCAATTAGTTGAAAATTATCAGTGAGAACGACATTTCACCAAGGTTTATTATGCACTAGGTGCTGTTTATTTGTGGGGCTTGTCCTATTATTCTTTAATTTTATTTGCCGCCAAATCTCTGAATTTATTGTTTTGCGTTGTGATTTGTGCCTCATTTTATGAAGGTGAAAATTTCCAAAAGGAACTGCTTTATTTAAATTACTAAAAGTGGGTCAACATTGTCTAAAAATAATGTTGTTTTCTGTTCACATTACCTTATTTTTAGGTAGACTCACAGTTACAATGTGTTCTAAAAATAAAAATGTGTTAAAATGAATCTAATTATGAATTAATGGCCACTACTTTAGCTCATTAAAGTGTATCTGCCGTAAAAGTTTATAGCATTGAAAGACATGTCCGTTTTTGTCAAGATCATTCCTTACCTGACTGATTGCTATGATGTAACTTAAAAAACACTTTGCTTATAATTTTAGAGCAATTTGCGGCCAAAGACTGTAAAAATGTTGATTTGCTCCAACAAATACCTATAACCTTGAATTGTATGCCAAATAATATTTGGAACTGTCACATATTTCAACTGTAAGCTAAGTATATTTAGAGCGGAAAATTTTACCATATTTAATGTAACAGAACGAAAACGAAAAATGGTAATTGTGATGCCATGCATATTGTTTTTAAGTAACATCAACATTAAGGATCCACCAAAAAAATGAAGTTGGTATTTAAAATTCTGATTTTTGCATGTGAAATTCGTTCTACAATTTTTCAAGTTCGTTGTCAAAATTCGAAATTCAGAAAACAAAGTCTTGTGTACACCATGTGTATTGAGGTACAGTTACACAAAGAAAATTTGCTGTGGCTAGCACAGATACCACCCGCACACCTGTGCATGCACGATTCTGCCCAAAAGGTTTTCAGCCCTTCCTTTTATGTCCAAGAATATGTGTACCAAATTTGGTTCCAATCAAGTCAGCTCTTTAACCAGAAATGTACAGACAGACAGACCGAATTCATCGAGATTTTTTTGATTCAGATTAGTCCAGGGAATAGAGGGTTTTAACTTGCAAAATGAGAAGTAGTTCCGATTTCTTTTGCATGTCATAGACAGTCATCTGGTCGTTAAGAATTTAAGTTTTCGACCTCCCACCCCTTGTGTTTCCTACATACCACCCCCAAAACCCCTGAAATTTGGTTGGTTTCTTAGTTTTTCAATCATATCTTTTTATAGGTTCACTTTACAAAAAAATATTCATTCTTTGTAGATGTTTCAACCAAATTACTTATATACTTTACCTCTATAATTAAGAGTTTTATGCTCAAATATCTTGAACTTATCGTGGTATAATTCACCCTACACCGCATAATAATGAAACTTGCAACCCTTGCTAGTGGGGATATTTGAATCACTGTGAGATTGTAGCGCTTTCTAATGTACGTTTGAAATTAAAAAATTGTCTTACTTCAGTTCAGCTTTACCCCCCCTCCCCCCTCCCGCGGTAGGAATAGATATTTAAACGCTCTTGTGGCGATTGATAAGTTAGTCAGAGAGTACAACGCTTGTTACATATATTTTGTAATACTCTTTAAGTATGTATTCCTACCGCGGGGGGGGGGGGGGGGAATGATGAAGCTGAACTGAAGGGAGATAATTTTCTTGTTTCAAACGTATATTAGAAAGCGCTACAAGCTCACAGTGATTTAAACTAGCAAGGGTTGAAAGTTGAATAAATTATGCATCCCCTTTGGTAAGGGTGCAGAGTAGGGGGATTTATACCACGATAAGTTCAAGATATTTTCTCAAAACTCTTAATAGACCGGGAGGCAGCGTACATAGTAACTAAACCGACATGTTGAAAACTAATAATAAAATCACTCGTCTGCCAGTCGTAAGTGGCAGCATTAACTTGGGGCGGCGCTGAATAGGTGACTTCTTTAGGTGACCAACTAAATTACCAAACTATTACGGTCACGGAAAAGATTTGTATCAAGAAATCCCATTTTTTCCATAGTTTTCAAATATGCTATGGCAGACGATTTCAAGTGCAGCGTTGGTAGCGAAAGACGCCCTCCAATGTAGGGAAAAACACCCCTGAACTAAACCATGAGGACCGTATAAAAAGTATACATAAAAAATTCCTCTTTTTGTCACTACTTTAAAACATATCTTGGCAGACGATATTAAGTGTAACTTTAATAGTGGCAGACGTCTTAGAAGTTAAAAAATTTAGGTATAGTAAATCCCAGCGAGTGCGAGCGTGTGAGAGATAAACGCGCGAGAGCATAACCAACAGAGATAGCGATAGGATACTGACTACTGAGATCTTTCAAACCATTTGATTCTAAACTTCTGATTCACATAGTTCCATCCACTTCAATCAAACGGATTGTAGAAACTCAGACGTTTTTCGGTGGTTAGCTCAAATTGCGATGAACTAAACCATGAGGACCATACACAAGTCATACATCCGGTAAATGCGTGGGAACCCGGTAACGCGTTACTCTGCGCGTTACACACATCAACACCCAAATTCACGAACATCTCTCGAAGATTTATGAATTTCTGCGTGTTATTATCCATCAATGTTGCATAGAGACAACGGAACTGGATTCAGAGGATAGTTTAGAACGAGCTGAAGATCTATCTTCTTTTCTCTTCAAGTTTTCTGTTTCTCAGTTTGAGAAGAATTCAAGAAATACCGACAATCTTATCGCGAAATAAACAATTTATGATTTCCCTAATTTAATTCGTTTGGTAACTCCAAGCGGTGCGTAAATCTATAGCTATCTCTGTTCGTTGTGCTCTCGCGCGCTTATCTCTCACACGCTCGCACTCGCTGGGATTTACTATACCTAAATTTTTTAACTTCTAAGACGTCTTCCACTATTAAAGCTACACTTAATATCGTCTGCCAGGATATATGTTAAAGTAGTGACAAAAAGAGGAATTTTTTATGAATAATTTTTATACGGTCCTCATGGTTTAGTTCAGGGGTGTTTTTCCCTACATTGGAGGGCGTATTTCGCTACCAACGCTGCACTTGAAATCATCTGTCATAGCATATTTGAAAACTATGAAAAAAATGGGATTTCTTGATACAAATCTTTTCCGTGACCGTAATACCTAGTTTGGTAATTTAGTTGATCACTTAAAGAAGTCACCTATTCAGCGCCGCCCCAAGTTAATGCTGCCACTTACGACTGGCAGACGCCCAGACGGGTGATTTTATTATTAGTTTTCAACGTACTTTCAGCCTGTATTGTCGAATTTTTTGTCGCTTATGGTTTAGTTACTATGTACGCTGCCTCCCGATCTATAATTATAGAGATTAAAGTATACAATTTGGTTAAAACATCTAGATGCAAATTTTAGAATTCTTAAAAATATAAGCAACTCTGAAGCTCTATATCGTTTTTAATAAACATTTCACAAAAAAGTAGTGTATATCAAAATTGTGTAGAATGTTATAGTCTACAATTTCTGATAACAATATTTTTTTGTAAAGTGAACCTATAAAAAGATATGATTGAAAATATAAAAAACCAACCAAATTTCTGTGGTTTTAAGGATGGTAACCACCAGATATTCTCCCATGACATGAAAAAAAAATTGGACCTACTTCCCGTTTTGCAGGAAATGGTCCATTTTCAGTCTCTATTTTCCGGACTAGATTCCTGGTGCTTCAAAATGTGTATTTCCATAAAAAAAAGTAGAGGGGGTCATTTTTACCCCAATGCAATACCCTCCTTACTAACGTGCGGGTGGTAATAATCCATGGGATAACATGGTTGCATAGTGAGTGTATTTCTCCCCTGATTGGATAGTGTCACGTTTCCTAACAGCAGGATCAGGATTCAGCCCGAATCCAAGAGGCTTGTGTAACAGGGCTTCTGTCTCTTTGTTATTTTAAGTTAGGTGTCCTGGCTGCCTAGATTTGGTACAGTGCACGTCAAATTTTGACTTGTTGTGCGCGTGTGTTGTACGCGTCCGAATGTTGTAGAACACGTCACATTTCCCGGAAAGAATGCGTCGCATCCGGCTTAATTTCTTTGGCCAATAACTAATCTTTCATGGCGCCTCGATGTCTATCGCAATTTCTAGAATATTCGCTACAATATAGTCTTCACTGAGAAAGTTTGTTTCGTGTCGCGAAGATCACGCAACGCCGTCGGCAAGTATGGTGGACACCAGTGGCGGGTTCCTTTTCCCTGAAATCTGTTTCATTCTCAAATAAGTTTTTACATCAAATTCGCCAATGATCTCAGGTAATAGTCCTGGACGACAAACGCGATATTTTTGAAGAATCGTGCACTTTTGTATAGAAGCATGAATTTTTGTATACGACTTACCTATACCCGAACAGTCATTTTAAACATTAGAGCCACTCTGGCTCTCTGCCAGGGGGGGCGTAGGGTGCCCATTTCAAAACGGCTGTTTTAGCAGTGGTATCCATTCGGTAATACCTCTGCCAACTCGCAACCACTAAGGCTAGAACAGAATTAAAACACGGATTTTGTTGAGCACCATCTTAGCTAAAAAAAATGTCATATTGATATTTACCCTAAATGTATTGAGTGTGGCTTTTTTTTGGGGTCAAGGTTAACCTTGATTGTTTTTCCTACGAAAAGTCGAGAATTTAGGCTTTCTTCACTCAAAATACTGTTTTTATTCATCTTTTTAGATGTATAGTTAAACTTATTAACATACATAAATTAAATTAATTAAATTAAATTAATGAAATAATTTTATATTATTTGTTGTGTCCTATTCTTCGTATAGTAAAAACTTATATGTAGTTTGAAAAGAAAATTGTAGCTTTAGAATAATAATTATTATAATTAATTAATTATACAATTAATTAATACTGTACTATAGCTATTATTCACGATCGCATCCACCACACTTGCAACGTGGAGTGCAAGACAAGTTCAATTTCGTACACTTGCAGGATGTACATACGCTGCGCTTAGAGTCACATTTCACCACTTCCTTATGCAAACTTCGATCGCTGGGGGCAGGTCCATCCGTTTCATCTGATATAGGATCAAAAGCTTCAATTAATTTATATAATATGCTTTAATTATTTTGACGTAGTGCAATTTGTCCTCACTTACCTCCCGCCTTTAGTTGCTGCTCTTCCACCAGAAATCGCCTGGATCAGGAAGAGCAGGGTTTCTTTCAAGGGCATTACCCCAGACATGACCTCCTTGGTAGGCAGCACGCAGCAAATGGAGACGAAGAGCATCCTGTGTAGGGGGAATATTCTCAATTTGCCTACCCTTGTGAACAAATAGGACTCTTTTGCAATCGTTGACAGTTACCTAAGGACTCTGCTCCGTGCTACCTACCAAGGAGGTCATGTCTGGGGTAAAGCCCTCGAGCGAAGCTTGCAAGGAAGTGGTGAAATGTCACTGTAAGAGCCGCGTATGTACTTTCTGCAAGTGTACGAAATCGAACTTGCCTTGCACTCCACGTTGCAAGTGTGGTGGATGCGATCGTGAATAATAGCTATAGTACAGTATTAATTAATTGTATAATTAATTATAATAATTATTATTCTAAAGCTACAATTTTATTTTCAAACTAGGTACATATAACATTTTACTATACGAAGAATAGGACAAAACAAATAATATAAAATTACAATTTCATTATAATTTAATTTAATTAATTAAATTTAATTTATATGTTAATTAGTTTAACAATACATCTAAAAAAATGAATAAAAACAGTATTTTGAGTGAAGAAAGCCTAGATTCTCGACTTTTTGTGGGAAAAACAATAAAAGTTAACTTTGACCCCAAAAAAAGCCACACTCAATATATTTAGGGTAAATATCAATATAATATTTTTTTTAACTAAGTTTGTGCTCAACAAAATCCGTGTTTTAATTTTGTTCTAGCCCTAATGGTTGCGAGTTGGCATAGGTATTACCGAATGGGTACCATTGCTAAAGCCGCCATTTTGAAATGGGCACCCTACGCCCCCCCTGGCAGAGAGCCAGAGGGGCTCTAATGTTTAAAATGACTGTTGGGGTATAGGTAAGTCATATTCAAAAATTCATGCTTCTATACAAAAGTGCACGATTATTTGCTAATCCTCCGGACTTTAAAGCTGGATTCACATGAATACGAAATCCGACGATACAGTCATCTGAAATGCTTATGATTGGTCAATAGTTTGAAATGTCAAGCACATTTGAAATTATTGACCAATCATAAGCAATTCGGATGATTGCATCATCGGATTTCGTATTCATGTGAATCCAGCTTAACACTTACAATTTCTTCCTCTAGAAAACCTTTTACATTATTGAAAGGGAGGTTTATTTTCCCAAACCCACTAAAATGTTGTACACCACGCGGCGCCTCTGAAAGCGACGAATTACACCGCGCTTGGAATATTTAAAACTGATGGAGTGCGCATTCGACCTTCAAACAATCTTTCTCCGTGAGTATTATTAAGCGAAAGTCTGGTAGGATGAAATCTTTCTTATAAATTAGTAATTTCTGTCTTCTTTTCGGAAATAATGGATGGAGGTTTTCGAATTATATTGTTCAACAGTCAATATCAGTGTCTTAGTTTGGATGAAATTGTAGATGAGCAAAAACGGAAAAACTCACACCTCGTTTTTTCTACAGCAGCCACACTAAAAATTCGATTTGTACATGAATTTAAAAGTTATAGTCTTTTATATCAATTTATAAATTGGCAAACGAACACAGTAAAAGCAATAGCTTACATTAAAATTATAAGAAGAATACAATTTAGCCATTCGCACGAGTGCAAAGCGATTTAGTTTAGATATTTGTGTGTAATACAGAAGATCTTATTGTTCGCCACTGACCTGTTTTTGTGAATTCTTTCAGTTGCAAGAATCTTGGCGCTGAGTCTTCTTGCTTCCATTTTTCCAACATGGATGGGAATCATCTGTGCGCTACATTGGGGCGTCATGTCTATTTGGCTAGCTTTAAGTCAACATCAAACCGCAGCTTGTAGCAACCGATGTGAGGAACTGCTGTTTTCCGCCGCGTTGGGGCTTGCCTACGTTATCGCGTTTATATCGCCACGAGATGGCCCTACAAGATACATCTATCTCGCTTATTACTTGGTGTGTTTCATGGAAAATATTGGCGCTTTAGTTGTATGGTAAGTAAATTTTCATGTAAAATTCATTTCGTTTATGTGATACTTGTAGGTGTGTGGCAAACAATTCGGAAGATAACCCACTGTTGTATTATGGAGCGGCGGGCGCACAATTGACTGCGTTTCTTTTAGCTATATTGTTCCTATTAATTTATTATCGTTACTGTCATCCATCTACTTGTACAAAAATTTTAGAAATAACTGACATCGGTAGCGTGGATCACGATAAGCCAGGATATAGCAAGACGTATACTCATGTGAGCCAATCTCACAATTTATCAAGCTCTTGATCCTGTGTGTTTGTGTAAGCCAGGGAAGTATATTTACATTTTGCCGTTGGTAATTAAACGTAACAGCTGAATTGTACACAAGAATTTGTATTACTTTACTGTTGTTAGTCGATCTCTTTGACGAATTCTTAGTAAAATACCATTTATATTGGCAAGTATGAGGTTGGAAACGGAATTGTCATCTTTTGATATAAAATTTACATTGATATCAAATTTTATAAATTTCCTTCTAGTTAGCGACTCACAAATTACAGCCTCTGTGCTGATTCAACAGTAAAATTTGCCAATTTTTAAATTGATTACGAAAACGTAGTTAGGTGGCAGGCTACACACCTACGGGACCAATTTTTTTAGGATGTACGGTAGAAGAAATAGGGCCTTGAACTTTTAAAAGCTTAAGTGGCCTTGAGTTAAGTTGTGAGTAATAAACATCGATTCATTGAAATTTAAAAGGAATATACTAACTGTTATAGAACTTTGTGCCTACTAAATGTCCCTATAAATTGAATAATCCAGATTTTTATATTTTCTCTATTCTAATATTGCTTCACTGAACACACAGCTGGCAGCTTAAAAGTCTTCAATTTCGGCAACTTCAGTTAGCTGCTTTTAAGGTTGATCTATTCTGATGAGCGATTTATAGTGTTGAACAATTTAAATTGTTTGTCAATTGGGCTGCGACTCATTATTATCACTATAAGTATATGATTTTTTTTTTCACTATGGGATGGCACATACATTTCTACAAAGTATGTTTAGATTAATGGCGTTTTTTCGTTAATTTTTTTTGTTATAACAGGTGATATTTAAAAAGGCAACTTCAAGAAAAGGTCATTAGGAATGGCGAATTTCTAATATGTATATGTATCAACACCATTTCCCATAGAAAGTGGGCAGTTAGTTGGCTCAGAATCAAATTGTATGCCATCCTTAATGGGCCTTGACATGGATGTTAAATATACAACTGTTTTTTATGGAAATTTAGTTAACAGCCTTCAATATTTGACCATTTTTCACTGATGGTGAATTTAATTTTTTCAGTAACGTTTAAATTAAGACATAATAAGCAATTACTTTTCGTTTTAGCTCAGGAAGTATTCTTTGACAGCCAGTAACCAACTGGCTTGTGCAACTTTTTTGTTTGAACAATAAATAATGATTTTCTAATAATCTAGCAATGGACCAATCAGAACTCAATTTGGGGATACTTAAGAATTTATAAATAAATCTGGATTACTCAATTTCGCACATAACTTGATTATAGTGAAACATGCAACTTCTTAACACCACTAGTACATGATTTTTTCAATGGTATTTTCATTGTTAGTGATTTAGTGTTAGCTCATGATCTATGATATGCCTTTATGAGGTCATGAGATGTTTTTGAGAATGAGAATCCTGTACTTGTAAAAATTTGTTACGTTTATACATAGTTTATAAATATTTCAGGATTTCATTCTAGGTTATACTATATTTGCTAAATTTGCATTTCCGTTGTGCTCATTGTTTTTTTTATAAAGTATCAGTATTTTTGTATCTATAAATTTACGCAATATTTATAGTGTATATAATATATGTATTGACAGTTATATAGTACTATACAGAAATGCTATTTGGGCAGCAAAATTTAGTTGCAAAGTGCATCCGACTGCCAAGTGTGCCAATAATAAAATTGTCTACCGTTGCCTTACTGTGTATATAAGAAATCGTATAGTACTTAATTATATTTACACATAAGAAAATTGTAATGAAAATTTTACTCTTCCTCTTCTTCGGAAGTAGAGTAGTTGATACCATTCTTAATTTTCCTATTGTATTCATAATACTTTGTACCTTTGGAAGTTACCACTTTTTAAATATTATTAATGTACTTTACAGTACCTTTGATAACCTTACCCTTGTAATAATTTGTATACTATTCCTAATAATTAAAAATTAAATGTGCACGTTCATTAATAATATAGACAATTTCACAATATTATTTTTTAACAAAATGTTCAACTTTCATAAAGATTGTGTGTTGACTCAAATGTATCACCTTCAATTCTTTTAAACGCAACTTACAAATAGGAATGGTCTGATTCTGTAGTACAATCATGCTCAGTATTCATGCATTTTGCATATAAGGGAATTCTAGTCATTTAAAAAATAATTTCCTAAGTTTTTAAACTTAAAAGCTTGTAGTTCAAAAGAAATTCTTCTGTATGAAAGTATGTCTTAATTGTTTATTACTTGTAATGTGTTTCGTTAATTCACTTGTTACAACCTCTTACCAAAGTAATTAGATTAGTATTCTTCCTGTACTTTTGTTTCGACAATTTACCTTGACATAGTATTTTATAATTAGTATTAGCCATCGAATATATTTTTATTCAGCAATAGAAGTAAGATACATTTAAGTTCCTCGTATTTATGAATTAAGAATATTGTACTATTGTTTTATTTATATTACTTTATTTCTGGTTAATAAATTCGTTTCATTATGTCTTATGTTATATATTGAATGCACAACTAACGAGGCACACATTTTTAGAACTGGCAACAGTTTTGTAAAGAAATGAGAATGCTCTATCTAGATAGTAGTAAAACGAATTCAGATAACAAAAATGGTAAGGAATTAAAATAATTTGTTTTTAACATTCACTTTGTCTTTGTACCACTCTACGAGTAAAAATACTCGTCGATGCTGCTAAATTTTGCATATTTAGCTGGAAGGTATAATGTGTTGCCATTAAATAAACACTTTCAATGGTGCTGCCTTACGGAAGGCTTGCAATTGTTTCGGTTCTGCATACCAGGAGATAAGTTACCCAGTAGTACCCCCCCCATTATAATTCTTTACATGAACAAAAATATATTAAAGAAAAATGCGTTACCAATGCATTATAAATTATAATGAAAATCACTCAGAAAATCAGTTGCCAAACTTTTGACAACAGCCTTCTAGCCTTAGACAAGGGAAGAGACTCCTAGCCTTAGACCATATAGTACATGGACTGCTAATTGTAACGAAAATATGGTCAAGGACATCGCCTGGGTATGTGACTTTCAGGGTAAACGAATCTGTCCGAAGTTATCCGATTAGACACGATTTGAAACTGTCAACCTATAAATTAACAAACGTCAATTAATTAATCGCTTAGATATGGCAAACGAAGCAAACCTATTCTTATTTGTGGACGTATAGAAGATAATCAAGAGTATTTAAAGCTTCCCGTACTACGCCGTTACCATAAAAGCTACTCTTTACACGATCTGAGTGGTGTTCATACGACTTTAGTTTACCCTGAGATTCACATACCCACGACTACAGTGCCCTCTATCCGTGACCACCCATTTTGTATTGAAAGCATAGGGCTAATAGCAGTCCATGTATATGGTCTAAGCTCCTAGCACACACCTTTTGACAGTATTACATCCTTTGTATGTTTTTATATGACCTACTACATAATCTAAAATCTAATCCTCATCTCATTAATAGTAGCATTGAATAATAAATCTTTATTATTCAATGATAGTAGATAATAAACGTAGACTGTACCACGGGATAAAACAGAGTATAATTCCCCTCTGTTTTATTTTTTATTGATAATAGTAGAATTGCTGTTGAAAAGTAAATTAATTTGCAAATAAAAATTTCACATATCTGATTCGCGTTGTTGCGTATGGGGTTGGCTCAGAGACATTGGAGTGGTGGGAGATGGAGGAACGACAAGTGCGCATCCAATAATTTGGGAGACGCAACTGAAGCCGCCATTTTTACACTGTTTCTGTCAGTTTCTCCCATATATATAAGAGGTTTGTTCGTTTGTCTTGCTCGATTGGTTTGGTGCAACACTGATGTGACGTCACGGTGTAAGCTGGAGTAATCAGTTTTTGATGCACTGGCATCTAACAAACGAACGCTTATTTAGGGTATAGTAAATAAATAACCAGCAAAAAACGTTTGTACTGCATCATGAGTGATAAATTTATTATTTATTATACAGGAAACTATTTTTCATTTACTTGTTGTATGACCTCTGCAATATTATCTTCCTCACTTGACGATCTACTTATAAATTGTTCAATAATATCATGAAATAAAAGTTCCATTTCCAATAATTTATTCATCGCAGATTCCCCACCTTGTTTTTTCAAAATGTTTATGGTTATGAGAACGGTCGTTTCACGTCTAATTTATGCTGCACTAAGTTGCTCGCACTAAAATGCACGAACAAAGTTTGTGCTGTTATGAACTAAAATGGGCAAATTGCACTACACAAACGAACGGAATGCATGCAGTTACAAACAGACAAACGAACGCATTTGGTACACCAGTGTTGATTAGTGCAGACAAACGAACAAACCTAAAGATTTGAATTTATATAAATTCGATTTAACTAATCCGTGCAAAAAATAGAATACATGTTACGTGCGTGAACAGTATTTGCTTGATTCGCGCGAGACACATGGTCAGGTCAGACATTTTTTTGTCCTAGACATGTGACACCGATGTTAAACCCTTAAATACAGTGAGTTTTTTTAAAATGCGAACATAGGAGTTTGCATGCAATGTGCAATTTCCCTATGTTCGATTTAAAAAAAAACACATCAATCTATGCGGTGTGCGCGGTTCACATTCCCAAATCGCACAACTTGTGTGACTATGAACAGCAACTCTATAGTCTTTATGATGAAGAGCACTCGGTAAGATTTTTTTAAAGAAGCCATGTGAGGCCATAGCAACTTTAGGATACATTTTTCTTAAATTTACGATAACTTGATCTCACATGCCACGCACTGACACCACAACTCATTGTGAACCAACCTTCAATTATTTGTAGGTCATGTGCACCTGGTATTCTACTAATTTGATCTATTCAATACATAAATGAAGAAAATAAGAAAATAAATACCGAAAACAATTACAATAAATGTTGGAAGTGTCCTCCTTGCCATTCTAAGCAATAACCTAACCGATTTCGTAATTAAATTTGACGGCGGTATTTTTAAAAATGTGACAGCTGTCAATTGTATCTACTACTCATTTGAACTACTCAATGATTGTTGTGTTTTTTTAAAAATCGAACATAGGGAAATTATACTATGCGATCAAAAATGAGTTGCCGTCGAGTTACCTTTGGAATTTTTGTTTACATGGGAAATCGTACTTAACTTGAACTTCCAAGGCGACTCGACAGCAACTCATTTTTGATCGCCCGTTATTGTATGCAAACTCCTGTTCGCATTTAAAAAAAAATGCACTGTATATCTTAGACTATGTGTAATATAATTTTCTTTCTATGGTTATGTCTCAAAAGGTTTATGCTTAGGGTTTATGCTTTATTCATTGGGTTTATGCATATATCTAAATAAACGTTTATTTAGATATATGGGTTTATGTCAATTTATGTAGCCTCGCAGTCTGGCACACCATTTATGTTGCTGTCTAGTGTCTTGGAGTTGGCGGCACTGAAACATTTCTAATCTGACATTCTTGGGTCTTGCATTTAGGTATTAAAACCCAAAAAGCATATCTTTCGTAAATTTTATGCGTTTTATTTTCATTTTTGGCAGTTCCGTTTAAGTATGTAAAACGTAATGAATTCCGAAGTCGAAGAGAATATTAGAAAAAATATACCATGGACTCAGCTACCTGCACACATCAAACAAGTACACACTTCCTCCCAGATCATCCCTAACACTTTATTTTACATTTTTTAGCTGCTGGGAAATTCGCCTAAAGAATATGGAAAGACTGTGGTTGCATTCAGTATTAAAAACCAACTTCGCTATCGAGGAAACTTGGGTTTGTTATTACCTACATTTTGTGCTCGTGCTTACAAAGCTCTTGTTGTTAGTTCGACAAATACTAAAAGATGAGAAGAGGTATTATGAGAGAGTTATTGCGTATAGTCGGGAAAGGCTTATGCTATTTCCATATCACCTGGCAGATATGGTCGTTAAGGGACTTAGAATAACTCCCTTTAATTACTACGTTTCTGTGGTTGAACGGTTAATGCAAGCTGAGAAGAGTTATGATACCCTACCTAACTTTACAGCGGCCGATTGTAAGTAACTTTCGATGGAAAGAAAATAATAGAGCTTTATAATTTACAATACAACATATCTAATCTACATATACTTCATGTCTTCTGTTGTTGTTTTATTTGTTGGCGCTCTTGGGCACTTTTTTTTCGGAGAATATGATTCTGTTATCAGAATTTCCGTAACACGCTAGTTGTAGAAGCTACAGGGTATTACTTTCTTATTTGTTATGGGCGCCATATTGGATTTTTGCTGAGATGGAGGCCAAAAAAACAATAATTTCAAAATCAAATGTTTCACGTTCACTTAACAAAACATCCACGGATAACTAGATCTTGCTGAATCAACATGGCTATGATGGCGATGCATTTAAATGAATTATTTCTTTTTTACCCTCTATTTCTTTCCGTAAAAATCCAATATGGCGCTCATAAGAAATAAGAAAGTAGTAGCCTGTAACTCACTGTTACAGAGATCCCAATGGTGAGCCACGATTTTATCCTGTATATGGCCGATTGTTAAGATCTAATTTCTTAAATAATCTTTGTCTAAACTATATGTGTACCTTTTGTATGTAGTTTAATCCTCGCACGACCACAAAATCTTAACATATAACCAATACGTTTTTTAATAATGTTTATTTTTAACACATTGAATTATTTGACATGAAAATTTTAGTGAGTTTTTTTTTTAAGACTGACCATAGGATTTTACCCGCTAATTTTTCAACCCCCTGTTAACTTTTGTCTTCAAGAAAATATTCAACCCAGTTTTGTAGTAAGTAAAGCTTTAGGGAGCTGATAAAGTATTGAAATAATTCCAATTTAATATCCACAAGTATGGAGAAATCTAGCAAAATTGTATATTATGTATCAAGTTTTATAAAGGACACTTTAGACACGAGTTTAATAACGAGTTCCTATACTGTATTCATTTTAAGAAGGTATCGGTAAAAAGCATAGGGAAACTTTAACCTTCAGTGTGATTGGTTGAAACACGAGTCAGTATTATGCTGAAACATAAAACGAGTGGCGAATTTTGCAAGCTGCTAGTTTCCAACTAAACTCTTGGAGTGTCATTAGCTGTTAATGTCAAAGATTTATTTCTGTTTGCAGTATTCGATATTTCTACTTTACAATAATTTGGTGCCGTTTTATATTTTTCCTGTGTGTGCGTATCTTCAAGCACAGCCGCCACAACGCCATCTACTACCTTCTTATAATGAATGCAGTATAGAGAAGTTTATAAAACGCGTTACATACTATACTTTTTCTATGAGAATTCTGTTGCCGCTTGCTTTATTTCAGAAGGGAGCAGCAGTAACATTTTTCTCTCCATTATCATTCTCTGTGCCCATTTTTGAAAAACAGGAATTCGCCTTACGATAAATGACAAACTTCAAACTGCCAACTTGATTTAGTCAACAAAATTCAAGCCGTGTTTAATAATAATAATAATTTTATTTAACCTTTTGTTTCCATTCCTAAAATGTAAAGGTAAGTCATTAACAATGAAACTTCGGGTGTGTTATAATGGTCGAAAACACCCGAACGGGCACCAGTCTGTATCTAATGAGTAGTCGTATTTAAAATGGCGCTTTACTCACTATATGTCAGTGCAAAATGTGACATTTTAGAGATGGGAGTAGAAAAAGATTTTTTCTAATTCCGTGTCTTTCAATTTGAAATTTTTAGTAGGCTAAGATTGCATTGTCAGTTGTAATTTTGATCTGACATTTGTATCGATTCAACAAACTTTTACAAGGAACGGAAGTTATTTTCATTCCAAAGTTTCACTTTATACAGAGTATTATTCCCCAATATGGGGTAAATAACTAGAAAACGTTAATATTAATAAAATAACAGCACTAGGTTTTGTAGTTTTTACAAAAATAAAAGGTAACGGGGGCTGAAAAAATTGACATGTAAAATCTTATGACCAGTCTTTAAAAAAAACTCACTGTATCTCACAACATAACAACTGAACAAGAACAACATTATGCAACTTATTAATTAGCTGCATTACATTCCCCCTTTAAGATGGAGCATTCGTCCCGGGCGACACTACTTATAGACGTGAAAATCTTCTAGTATCTTTGGGGGGCTGCCCTTGCAAAGGGGTCTAATGGGTATCGTATCAGAGTAATTGGTGTTCTCAACAAAAGCAGTTAGTGCTGAGGTGGATACATGCCCACTGGTGTATCCGGCGTTTTGATTGATGCTATTTGAAATGTGGAAAGGGATACTTTTTTTCACAATCACGTACGACCCGTCTTGTTTGGAGGCAAACTTTATAGTGTACGAAAGCGCTAAAACAATTAGAGCCCAACTAGCAATTTTCCTAGCGAAAGGAAGGCATTTAAGCCAAGAATAAACCCCCTTTATAATTAACGGAAAGAAAGGCTTACCTTGATTTATTGTTAAACAAAATTACGGAGAACAGATCGAAATTGATTTACTTAACACTTGCAAACGGTGCACTTTGGCCCTAAACTTGACGTAAAGCCGATTTCAAAACTTCCACAAACGTCATTCGGCTCTCAACGTGGCAAAAAGCTGGCGAAACCCTTCTTCCGAAAATCAAAATTACAACATTCAATCAAAAAGACTATCCCCTTAACGTATTTTATTAGGCCAAGAAAAATTAAGGTAGAATAATTTTTATGAATCAATTTCCTATCAGACACTAAGAGACTTAAATTCTAGGAAAAAATAATATTTCATCTCTCTTAACTATACAGAAAAGGCGATAAATCACATCCACCTGTCAATTAAATTAAGCATTTACATTTGATACCAGATAAAGACCAAACAAAATTCCCAGAAATTTCTACAATAAATAAAATGTAAACAAAAACAACCTTGACCGCTTTCTCGTATGACACATAATCCCCAGGCCGTTACATAGACCAAGGACAAGTTAATAAAATTTAATTACAAATGTTAATTAAACAAAAAAGAGACCCAATATACAGAACAACTGAACAAAATGAACATTTGCAGTAAGAAATTTTGTATATTATTCATCTGATTGTCCATAGAATCGTGAGTGCGAAAGGAGGGATTCGAGATATAAATGCTGATGATGGTGATGTTGTTTGCAATAGTTTGGGAACCAATTTCCAAAAATTTCAAATTGCCATATCTTTCTCGGTCACATATTGACATGTGAAAGTGAACTAGTTTCAAATTTGTTCACAAGCTAGTTATGTAAAGAGCATAATTGCTCTAACTACTACATTTTTGATCAGGGGTAGGGTATAGGGTTGCCTTTGTTCTTTCTCTTGTACTGTGAAGTTGTATTATCCTACTATTGTGTTCTTAGATGCTGATGTGATTTCATTTACTTTCTAGTAATGAGAACTACAACTGCAATGTTGCCATTGATACTAGAATTGTTTAAGGTTTAAGACTGCTCGGAATAGGAAGAAATGAATACATAGATATAATGAATCAGTCACGAAGCAACCGAGGGCGATTATTTGGTAAACGTAACGTGAAAGGGCTGCTTCCTAAAGTTCCTTGCGATATTCACATCGAACCATGGTGGAGAGTAGAAATAGGAATGGTACTTGAGGATGATGTTAAAGTACGCTGCAATTCTTTTAACAAAGCAAATTACGTACTTTTATTGTAGTTAGTGACTAGTGAAGAATTAGAAGTGATTGATAAATTAATTGATTATGGTTCGCATACCGCTGGCGTTCTGAACTTTCATATAGTACTCAGCCTATACAAGTAAGTCCAGCTCCCACCCAACATTGCTTTGATGATTAATTGTCTTTTAGGAAAGGATTAGTGTATCTGGATGTACCTGTTACAGCTATGGATCGAATTCAAGTTCCACCACTGCAAGGTTTTGTCATGAATAGAGTGTTGGGGGATTATTTTGAAACATTATTGTATAAAATATTTGTTTCAATTGACGAACATATGACAATAGGTGAAGTATGTACGACTATTCTTTATATTGGCAGTTTTATTATTTCATGAATGTTCATACCGTTCAAAATCCTCTTATTTAATAAAACTCCATTTTATTCATTAGTTTTAATACTAATTAAGACATTTTCAGTTAGCCAATGTTTTGCAAGTAGAAACTGATTTAGTGAAACACGCCGTATCTCTGTACAGTAGATTAAGTTTTGCTCGTAAATTGGGGGCCGAAACTGAGAATGACAAATCTATTCGTCATCCTTCATGGACTACCGTTCCCGCTATTCGTACACAGTAAGTGATAAGAAAAACTTTCAATATTTTTCATTATAAAGTTCGTAGAAAAATGGAGATTACGCCTTTAACGTTAAATTTAAATCAAGAAAATTATATTGATCTCGCTACAGACCTGCAATCACCCAGAAGTGAAACTCCCGAAAGTCCTTCAAATAACACACTGCCGAAAAGTGGACAAAGGATCGCCTTTCTTTTTGATTCCACTTTAACAGCGTTCCTTATGATGGGAAATCTATCCCCTGTAAGTGCCCGATTTGTTAAAAAATAATGTCAGCGTGTTTTGAAGGGTCTGAAAAAACATGCAGTAACAATGTTCGAGGTTGGAAAATTAAGTGACGAAAGTTTAGACAGTTTTCTCTCCGAATTAGAAAAGGTGTCCGTGCTTGATGCGGAAGGCGAGGGCGAAGCACGGCGATATTTTGATCACGCTGTAATTTTACGGTCGACGGTAATGGCATTGCGAAAGTTACCAAGTGCAGGTCTTGATTTAGTTCGTCTTGAAAGCCTACATTCCTTAGATGAAGCAACTTACACAAGGTTGCTCCAGAAAAAATATAAGTAAGTATTAACTTCCACTGTTATGTCTGTAAGTAACTATTTAGTGTGGAATGTCTTGCAAATTGGTAGAGTGTAGCGTAGGTAACATAATAAACCAAACTAGATTTTTCCCCTAAAATTGTAAGCAGAAGAAACAGAATAGTATTCGTAAAGTATTTAATATAAAATAATGCAAAAAATAAATAAACAAAAGCAAACAGAAGTAATTCTATTAATTAGGTTGAAATCAAATTTTGTAAAAAAAAATGAATTGTGTAAAGGACTGTAGGTGCGGTAATTAACAAAAGTAATAATCGTCAAATAGGTAAACTCTGCACCATAAGTAACCAACATGGCTATAACTTCGAGCTTACGGTTTCTTCAAGGAGGAGATACTTTAATTTTTTGGTTCACGTGCACAATATATTCAAATGTTGGTTGCGTATGCGTATAAAGAAGAAGGATTTAGCTATCCGGCGATCATTACTTTTGTCAATGACTGTACAATGCTTATCAAAGTTGTCAAAGATTTGAACTTTTTCGCGTTCGTTGGTTTGATTGATAGTTGCATGTGCGTTGGATCAAGCATGAAACAATTACGCCTACTCAGACGGTAGAATAATGTGCTCATTTGTAAATGGGATTATGATAACTTCAAGTTTTCGAACGTCAAAGGATTATAAACGCAAAATTTGTACGTGATATTATTCTTAGAATTGATATAACATTTATTTTAATCAATATGTAAAATATTTGGGACGTGTGAGGCAGTGGCGTAGCGTTGGAGGGGGGGGCGGAGGGGCGATCCGCCCCGGGCGCCACTTTAGTTGGGGCGGCAGCGTCATATCTGCTAATAATATCCCGGGGCGCTTTTATAAATAGCTAAAAGTAGAAAATTACTTAAAAAATCTTGCGAAAATACCTGACGAAGAGACTTCTGGTATGCATACAAAAGTTTAAACTGCTGTTCTCAATATACTCCAATCCCTGCTCCAATCTTTTAAACAATGTCTATCAAGCAAATCAAATATCATTATCGCCTTTGAATTTCTTGCGATTCTAGGTTCGACTTCAAAAGCAGTGTTGGGTATATGCTTTTTACCACATTACAAGAAACATTAAAAATATTATTCTGCCTATCTGTCTTTATTGTAGTGTATGTTGTTCATTTGCTACATATCATATAGGTATCAAACGAAAGCTTTATAGATATAATGTCAAGAGATGAACCCCCCCCCCCCTAAACAATCGCTCGCTCTAAACTTACTCAAATCCATAAGAAATTTGAACTATTTTTTAAAATAAACGATAGGGAACTCAAAATCACCAGCTCCTAAAATATAGGGCGGCAAGCCTTGATAGCCCCCCGGGTGCCAACGATCTACGCTACGCCACTGGTGTGAGGTAATGTTGTAGTGATAGGAACTCTAATACCGCATCTCAGACGTTCGTTGGTTTGCTTGATTAACTAATTTTTTCATTAGATTTGTATGAAAAATTCATCACACTATGTACAGGGTGTTTTTTTGGGAGCTTTAGTTAAACGTTTCTGGGAAAGTAAAATAGGTAGGTTTTTGAAAATTTGTACTTAGGAGTTACTCTGAAGGCCGAATCGATGTAAAATATTTTCAAAATGGCCGCACTTCCGGAAACACCGGTAGTAGCTAGTGACTTCGTTATTTTAAATAGCAACCCCTATTTTTTATTGGATTTTTTTATTTTACGTGAAAGTTCAGTTCTTTTGATACCCATATGTCGATATCTGCCATTTTTGGTTTTTAAGTTATGACTTTAAGAAAAAAAATGGCGGATGCAGATGGTACCTTGATAATTGATTACTTGAAAACGGTTGTAGTCATGGCAACTTATTTTTATAAGTGCATAGAGAATGAATAGGGCTTTCTTTTAATGCACCTACCCCCCAGAGATAATTTTTTGCTTAAACTTTTCTTTCGTGACTTTTAGGGCATTGTCCTTCCAGGTAATCCTTGCACGGTTAATTTTACGTGAATTATATGTCATTTTAAGGAAATTGGCGTTAAATTACCTATCCTAAATAAGATTATAATAACCGTCAAGGTTGGGCGGTTACCCAGGCGAACGTACAGAAAATCCAAATGACCAAAATTTAACTAGTAAGTCCCTTAACCATTGTCCGCCTATTACTGAAAACAGAATTGGAAAATTCGAAACCGTTCGCGTGTTATCATGTACACAAGCGGGCAGAGTTATCATGGATATACACGGAAAGACGGGCAGAAAGTCCAAAATCATGAACTCATTCTCATTCTGATATTTTTAATCAGTGATTAACCTTAATCATCGTTTGTAAAACCGGGCATAAGTTTAACACACCTGCATAACTATACAATAGCCTGGTGTGACTTGTTAAATTCTATTATCTTTTATAAAACTTAATAAGTCACACCTGCAAATTTCATACAATTTAAATGCGGTATCAAATTAAATAAAACAGTCTTGCCCGCCCATCTCATCTCAAAGATGACTTCATCTGCAACGTCACCAGTCTTTCTCAAAAACGTAAAGATTCTCAAAAGTAAAATTATGTGTGGTATCACAGGAATGGTTGTCAATTGTCAAAATTAAGTAACCTCACACGCAACACTGTGATACGTAGCCAAGAAATTATCTAAGGAAATTATGCATTGCGCAATATTGTTACCTCGGTATTAACGAAAATGGTAAGAATGTTGCATTATGTCACTCGCACATTATGGATTAATTGTGTGGGGAAGCAAGGGATGCCACGCGTCGTGTCTTTAAACTTATTGCGCGTGATTTAAAAACAATATACACGTGTTTCTAATATACTATTTTTTGTTTCTGATTTTTTGTTTGTTTAACCTTTAGAGTTGGCAATTCTAACTTTTTGTGAGGTTATATTCATTCTGATCCCTTACTTTGCTCTTGTTTATGACTTTATGAGCAATTAAATTTCATGGGATGCTGTTGTCCTTCCACGTTGGGTATGGATCTTATAGGTACCCCTTCCCCTCAAAATAATGAAATCTTAACTTAATTCAGTCACGATTTAATGTGTGCCACAATGGTCTAGTGACTAGGCTATCCAGCTTGCACTCTGGCAGATCAAATTCGATTCTTTGGTCACCAAAATGCTTATCCAACTACTTTATTTTTAGAAAGCGCGCAATATGACGCAAACCCACTATTTTCGTCGAACTATAGATATACACAAAAAACAGATTGCTAACGTTATGCATTTTATAGGTAACACCATTGATTATGTGTGTATAACTTGGACCATATAGTACATGGACTGCTATTAGCCCTATGCTTTCAATACAAAATGGGTGGTCACGGATAGAGGGCACTGTAGTCGTGGGTATGTGAATCTCAGGGTAAACTAAGGTCGTATGAACACCTCTCCGATCGCGTAAAGAGTAGCTTTTATGGTAACCGCGTAGTACGGGAAGCTTTAAATACTCTTATTATCTTCTATACGTCCACAAATAAGAATAGGTTTGCTTTTTTTCTATATCTAGGCGATTAATTAATTGACGTTTGTTAATTTATAGGTTGACAGTCTCAAATCGTATCTAATTGGACAACCTTGGACAGACTCGTTTACCCTGAAACTCACATACCCAGGCAATGTCCTTGACCATATTTTCGTTACAATTAGCAGTCCATGTACTATATGGTCTAAGGTGTATAATCAATGGTAACACATTTAGGTATATTTAAAAGCGACCTCTACTGAGCATCAGTATAAACTTAAACATATACCGTTTAAAACTGTAAAATGACCCTTATGGATATATGCATTTGATATCAGTCTGTTTAATTGAACAGTGGAGTTACTCATTTGCTTTAATTTTTTGCAGCGACATCTAATGCATAATCCATAAGTGTACACGTACAGTTTGGATTAAGGTTCGACACTTTTATGGTTTGAAAACTCGGCAAAATCTTCACCAATAACTTTCTTTGCTTTTAACTAACACTCGGTTATCATTGATTGATTGATTTGAGTAATTACGCAACCTAATTAAGTATGTTATTAGTTATGTGTGGTATCACAGCATTTTATCGCCTTAAATTTGATTAAAAGTACAATTCTACAAAATAAAGCGATTTCTCGCGTGTTAATTTTACATAAATATGAATTAGGTATAGACCAACATGAACCATTATGTGTACCTAATGGTCTTTGTTGGTTAGCTACTGTATTAACACCAATTTTAGGCTATTAGTTTCAATGGCACCACTCAGCAGAGAAGTGCGACCTGTTTCACTACTATCTCCTCCACATTTGGGACCACCTGTACCTGAAGTAAATTCAATATGGTTTAAAATGTTTCTCTATCATATGACTGGATATGGACCACCTTCACTACTGCTAGTCAAAGGCGAGTTCCTTACTACCTGCGGTTCAATTGTAAGAGCTTTTCTTGTAGGTACCCAATTGAAGCAATTACCTCGAATGTTTTTGGGTTTTTCAAAGTTCTTGGTAATGGCTTGGTTACACGAACCCGCCGTTCTTCCTGTAGCAAATATCATGTATGTAAATGCGGCTTTACAGTACTCGCCAGTGCTACTGCAAGCGTACGGAGTGCATCAATCTGCTCAAGTTCACATTAAACCATTCCCGTTTGAAAAAGATACAAACATTATGTGCCATGGTAGGATTACAATATTGCATTTATCGTTTATGTAATTTCTTGTACAGGCGAAGGTGTCCACGCAATTCCGTGGGCTAAACATCCAGCTGTACAACGATTGTCTGGTCTTGTGGATCTAGAACAAAATTGTGGGTATCTAACCTTCGTTAATATTGGGGTGAGAGATCTAGGATGTCCGAACAGGGACCCCATCGTCCGCCTAGGACGGCAGAAAGTAAACCCTAATAATCCTGGTAAAATAGTCAATTTATCATAAATATATACTAATGCATTCATTTTAAGGGGTGGCAAAATTGCATAAAAGCAATGTAAAAAAAGCATCAGAACCAACAACGTTCGCAAACGAAAATTTTAGCTTTACAAATCGCTCTAACGAAATAAATCAAAATGAAATTGTAACTGACAACCCGGAAAAGCAACTACAATCACCCGTCGAGTCTCATTTCGCGGTTACACCCGTTCATAGCAGTGAAAGATCGTCTCCTGCAAATGGATTTATGCACCAAGATTCGACAGAACTCTTAAAGGAGGAATTAGATTTGTTGGATAAAGATACGATTCTTTCTCAAGAGGTCAAAGAAAAACCATTAAATCAAAGTATACAAAGCCTCTACTCGTTTGAGACTCTTTTAAGTCCAACAGATGAAAATATTAGTATGTTTTCGAGGCAGGGTGATTCTGACCCACCAAGTAATAAAGCAACTGATGAGAATAGCGTAAATAAGCCGGTTGAAGAAGAAGCAAATGGTGAGGTGTGTAGATGAAATTTGTGGAACACTAGTCTTTAGTTTATACGAAATGATTATTAAAGTTAGTTTTTTACATATAGATGTGGACTTTGTTGGACTGCCACTTTGGAATACCGTTATTTGATGCAGATGCCAATACGAAAATATGTGATGCCATTGTCTCAGGAGGATTATGTCACTCTTCTAGGTGAGTTTGAGGTTAAAATCACAAAACAAAGTGTATATGAAGGTTCATTTTTGGGAACATTATCTTGCGTATGCTTGCACTACTGTGGTTGCATGTCTCTACGCCCTCTGTGAGTGTATTGTCAAACTTTCCATTTGAACCAAGAGTCGGAGAATTATAATGAAGTAATACTCAAAAAATTGATTTCAGTCTCACACACTTAACCGAATCTAGTCGAATGCTGGGAACATCTTTGTTAGAATTTATCTCTCAATGTCAGGTAAGTTTTTTTTTAATTTTTGAAAAACATCATGGACGCTATTCTTGACGTCACTCGAATTGGTTCGTATTTGTGTTAAAACTATGTATGAACATTCGCATACAAGTATCATTTACTATTCCCTCTGTAACGCTTGTCATTTCAATTAGAATGATATGTTTGGCAACGTAGAGTTTGCTAGTAGTAAATAGCTTCATAGTTTAGATTAGGAAAGAGTATGGATCATCATGGTGAATTGTGCAGGTTATGGATGCAAAATCCGGAGTGAGAAGGAGGATCCAGGAATTTCATTTCAGACATAAATATTGAAAATGTGCCTAATGCCGTTACCACGTATTTTCCTATTTTTCATCATAAAGCTTTTTCTTGGAATATTCTTTATTTAATATGTTAAAATTCATCGTTTTGGTTCAAAAAACGAATGATCTTGATAAATACATAGAGTCAAGAATAGGGCCCCTGTTCGTATGCACATGGCACTTACTTATCTGAGTATTTAAACTTGTCAATTTTAATAAGTGCCTCTTTCAGTATTATCCAGGTGAAAACATGGGCATAATAAAACGTGGCAGGCTCACCCCTCTTCCCAGGCACAATTTAATGTTTGACAATGGCAGAGTTTGTGAATGGGGTGGAAAATAATAGAGAAGACAAGAATATTTATATTTTCCATACTTATAGCTACAGTCAGTATTTACAAATTGTTTTATGTAGGTTATTTTAATTTTAAAATGTTGTTATATTTTAATTATGTTAAATATTGTATATATTGTATATTTCAATGTAGATAAGTAAGCTAAAATAGATGATTCTTATACTGAAGTTTAATTCATTATCCAAGGTGTCAGGTCAATGTTGTGTTTGGTCGATCACTATTTGTTAATTTGGTTGGATAGTTCCGTAGAATAATACACGTGAACCATCCTTAAATTTATGTCGTATGGTGTATGCAATTTTGGGTCTGATGCCCTTTTTTCCAAGCCACAATTTTTCGTGGCAGTGAAAACCGGAACTGAGATGGAATGCACTACAATTTGCTTATATAGTAAACGACAATTGTTCTAGAAAGATCGGGATGTTATTGAATCACATTCGCCTTCGCTCTTTATCGCCGATGACTAATCTTTCATGGCGCCTCGACGTCTATCGGGATTTCTGGAATATTCGCTACACTTCCCCCCCCTTAAAACTGTTGCGTCGGCTGACCGTTGTAGCGGAGACACAGTCTTAGACAACTCGGGTTCCGTAACGCGAACTTGTGGCAGTACTAGCACGACGACCTCCTCCTTCATCTTCCATTCTTGAAGAAAAAGCAATCCATCGTCTTACAAATCGGTTGCGGGGTTCCTCTGGAGAACAAACCAATAATTCTACTCCGGTACCCCGGAATACCGCTTCCAGCATATTGCGCACAATGCGCCAGTCCACTTTAGAAATGCTAACTTGGTAACGCCATGCATTTGTAGTTCTCGTTCCAAGTGCTGTAGCGCATTCCAAAAAATCTTCGTAACTAGGCTTATCACAAGACCGGTCGTTTGTCTCGAGATAATAAACAAATTGTTCCTGCTCCTATAGGCCTCTACTGCAATACCATGGCTATTGCAACCATTATACAGGGTGGCCATTTGAAAACGAAACAGAGCCTATTTTGGGAACCTCAAAACATTAACGAAAAAATCCTCGGACCCGTCAATTTTTGATTCAAAGGAGAACAATTTTTTTGGTAGCTAAGGACAAAGCCCTAACGGGGGTGACGACCGCTCCTAATTTGCCTAGCCGATACAGGGGCTAATAAAAGTTAAAAACGTGTCAACATTTTCTTATGAAAAAATATGCTTGTAAATTAATTAGTTAAATAACAACAATTAATACAACAATAAATACAAAAAATGTTGTTATCGTACATTCTGAACTGTACTTTTTTTTGTTCTTTTTTTTTCTTTTTAATATCTGTAGGTGGCTATGACGAATGTTCCTTTTTCCTAAACGGTACTGTGAATCGTCACAACTGTCGCTATTGGGCTGATTCAAATCCCAGAATATTTCGTGAGGTGCATACACAATGTCCCGAAAAATTGAATGTTTGGGCTGGCATTTTTGGTAACCATATCGTAGGCCCCTTCTTTGTACCTGGCAATCTAACAGGAGAGATGTACCTGGAGTTATGAGAAAATACAATTCATCCAGCATTAGTGCAGATACTAGAAAATAACGAGTAGGTACTTGAAAAATCGTCTAGTATTTCAGCAAGATGGTGCGCCACCCCACTATGCTGCAAGGGTTCGTCAATATTTGGACCAAACGTTTCCAGGACAATGGATTGAAAGAAGAAGAGGAGCGAATGGCCTCCTCGTTCCCCGGACTTTCCGTTAGATTTTTTTAATGGTGACATTTAAAAATTAAAATTTATACTAGTCAGTCAACATCGCTAGAGAACTTGCGACAAAGAATAATTGATGAATGTCGTCAAATCACCCCAGAAGTTTTTGAAAATGTACGGGAGAGGTTTGAACAAAACCTGTATTATTGTATGGAAGTCGAAGGCCAACATTTTTAATATTTACTTGATTGATTTTAGCTTTAAGCACTTAAAATAAAATTGATTAAAATGAGTTATAATCTACATAAAAATACCTTCAAAATAAGGTATCACTCGACCCCCCATTCGATTTAAAATTTTGGGGGCAGTTGTCACCCCCGCTATGGCTTTGCCCTCAGGGGGGCGAAACTAGCAAAAAATAGTTCCCCCTTGGATGAAAAATTGACGGGTCCCAGGATTTTTTCGTAAATGTTTTGAGGTCCCCAAAATAGGCTCTGTTTCGTTTTCAAATGGCCACCCTGTAGGTCACAATACAGTAAAAATATGACAAAACCGTAGAGGCGGTAAATTACCACCTATGCTATAAAGTATAAGGTATACTTTAAAAGTATACCTTATTATGCTATAGTGGGGGACGTGCCCACATGAATGTTAATTGAACTAATTTAATGTTATAATTTACGCAAAATTTCTTGAACTCTACACATTGAAATTGTGGTCCATTGTCAGTTTTAAGAAAGGTTGGAATTCCAAATTTTGTAACGAAGGACCCGTTTTCCGCCTTGAAGTTTCATACCCGAAGTTATGACCACACTGTATATTTGTGAAGTTTGTTGAACACCCGGTCTCTAGAAGCGTTTTAAGTTGGCTTTCTCGGGCGCTTTTTACTAAGTAGTTTCTGAATTTGCTTATGTACTCTTTTCTATGTACATAGACCTAACCCAAGATAGATTTTGTTTTCTATGATCTCTTGGAGACGAGGAGTGAGCTTTATGCGTTTCCATTTTGTTGAATTGATGAATATTATGATAATTGCTTCAGATCACACCTACTAAGGGTGACTTTTTCCTGATATGGAGTCAGTTAATTCCCACATGGCGCAACACTGTCCAAAATACGTGAGCCTAAAACTATTTAATCATCTGCCCCACGACCTACAAGAACAGGAAACCTCAATCAACAAAATTTTTGATATATGGCAAATGGCCTCATCGTTAATCATCCTTTTTATTCAAATAGCCGAATATCTATGTTCTTCATTTTGACTGTGTTCCTATTGTTACAGTATTGTTTTATTTAAATTTGTAGATCTATTTATTATACATTTGACAGCTCATATTACTCTATGGAAAGCATATACGTATTATGCATGATCTAAGATGGAAAGAGGAAAATAAAAAGAATAAGAATAATTGAATAGCCTTGAATTTGCATAAAAGATTGTCCTCTCCCATGCCTACAGTTTACGACTGCGTGGCACAAGTATTATCCCATTGAGCAAATTTCAATATTTAAACGAGAATTTATTGTTGTAGCTTAAATAAATTAAAATAAAAGCATTCTGTCATTCTATCTTGCCATACTTCTACTGGACGTGGTAAAATCTTAATCGTAAATATCGCTTTTTTTTTACAGAAAAACACATCCTTTTGTTATGAAGGATAATGAGCTCTTAGTAAAAAGAAGGCATGGGATGTTAAAGATAAAATAGCTACTTTAAAGGAACTAAAGCAAAGAAATCTATAAAATCAGTTTATTTATCCAAAGTATATAGTACACGGATGTAATATTAACTAAGTCTACAAGTAAAATATTCTCGTTTACTCTGTAAGCATGCGACATGTAAACTAAATGATTAAAACTTAAATGTAAATAATAAGAGTGTAAGACTAATTAAAAGAAGTTACCTAAAATCAGTACTTTTTACAATAAAAAACGTACTAAAATTTTTCAAATGATTTTTGTGAATGTACAATAATGAAAATCTACTTGTATATGTCTACTTTCTTGTAGGCGGTCACACGGATAAGGTTAAAGGTGGTGGTATTCTGCCAAAGACATTTTAATTTAACACAATTTCTCAAACGATATTTTAAATTCCTAATTTTTAACATTCAGTTATATAACTGTCTGTTTGTGATAAATCTTTAGCATAAAATTTAGAATACCAGATACCACCACCTTTAACCTTATCAGTGGCCACCTACAAGACAGTGGCTATTTAAATTAAAACTTATAAAGCTACTGTTACCTTTAGCAAGGATGTTAAAAACATAAATTACTTAAAAATCACAGACATGTAAGACACTTTTGTAGTTGATTTTTGAAATTTTGGCGATAGTGTATTCTACCTCTTAACTATATAAAACCAGTATCTTGCATTAAAAAGAGATATAGCTAACAATATTAAAATAACTATTTACAGGGCATTTTGTAAATACATATTACATTAAAATTACAACATTTTTAACAAGTGTCAAGGCACGTGATAAGTTACAAATAAATTTTTATTTAAAATATTGGCGTCATTCTGGTTAAGGTTAATATTGCCATTACCAAACATATTCTACTACGCAAATGTACACGGTACATTTGCCGCCATTCGACAGTTTTTCCGATATACTATTTTCGAAATGCAAATGAGATCTTAGAATATGTCATGTTAGGGGAATAGCTTAACCTAAACAGGACTTTAGTGTCCTCGACTCTCAAATATAAACGGCGTCGACACCTTTATTTGTCTGATGTCCGGAGGTGTGGTATGTATTCGGGCTGGTGATATTTTCCGACCAATCGGATACACACGAGTGGGGAGAGCTCGACGACCAGTGGCCCGGACTTTCCGGACTGGGCGTGGGGAAGTTGTCCGGTCCTAAATGCTGCGGAGTAATATCGGAATGTTGAGATGGAGGCGTTAGAAAGTAATTCTGTTGAAACTGCTGCGGATGCAACGTGGGCGGCGTGACGCTGTGCGGCTGCGCGGACGTGTACGCTAGGGATAACTCGAGTCCCGCTTGGCTAAAATCGAAACCCATCGGGAGATTTTGAGTTTGTGGCACTCCGCCGTGCTTTTGCTGGGTGGCGGCTCTCATTGCAGCTATGTGGGTCGGGCTTGTCGGTAAAGACGGACGCGATTTTGCAGGCGAAGGAGATCCGTTATATGCTTGAGGTGACAATGACATGTTTGATTGAACCGAATGGGGTGGCGATTGGTTGGAGTAAGGAGGACTAAGCGTATTTGGTTGTAACTGCCTTTGTAAGATTAGCTGATCTTGGAAATTTGATAGTGTGAAAGGCCCATAATTTTCCAAGTTTAGAAGATTATGAATGGACTGATTGGTTTTTATGACATCTTCATAACTTGGTGGTTGTTTATTACTTATTAATCCTTCTAAGGCAGACGCCATTCCCATGTTGGAATAAATCGAACCCGTATCGTAAGGGCTGGGCAGCGAATTATTGGTCATGGGTGATTCCACAGGACTAAGTGTGGAATTGACAGAATCGATGCTGTGCGGAATTTCAGTGTGGTTTACGCTATTTATGCCCTTTTTCTGACATTTCTTTATACTAGGTTTACGTCTTATACTCCCTCCAGTGTTTGCACCTTCTATTTCTGGACTTGCCGGATCTAAAGGTCCATTGTGACCCATCTTACTTGGCCTCTTCGATTTCTGTCTTTTAGCAACTATAACGGTGGGCTGCTGAATCATCTGTCCATTTGAGGATGCTGTAACAATTTATTATTATTATTATTTGATTCATAAAATTAATAAGGTACAACAAATGTACAATTACCTGGAGTAGTGACTACTTATTTATTTTTACTAAGATGGAGACAATTTTCTGCAGGGTGATTTCATCAAAACATAACTTGAGACTAAACGAATGATTGATATGAACACAAGGACACTAGCCTACAAGAGGATGGTGCCGGGTTCAATCCTTGGGCCCACCAACACATTACCTTTGGCGTTTTTACCAGCACGTTAATAAGGGAAGTATTACATTGGGGTAAAAAACGATCCTCTACTTTTTTAAAAGAAATACACGTTTTAGAGCACCAGGAATCCGAATCAAACAAAATATTGATGATCTCGGTCGATCTGTCTGTCTGTACTCGCATTTCCAGCTAAACCAATTGGAACCAAATTTGGTATGCATAGGCTTAGGCATAAAAGGAAGAGCTACAAAGATTGTGGGCAGAATCGAGGTATTATTACTTGTTGGAGAACCCCTGTAGCATCTAAAGCAGTTTGATAAGAGGGCTCCACCTATCGATACAAAGTTTATTCACGCAAATTTGACGCGCTGGGATTGGGAAATTCCATTCATTCTCAGCAAATGGTGTGTCAATTTCCTTAAGGTGGATTGTATATTAAATAAGAAGCTTTTCTATCACCTGTAGACACACAGGTTAGATGCGTGGATTTCCTTTCTCTTTTGATTTGTTTTAGGTGATCATTGCAACGTCAACGTGGAGAGCTCCTTCAGCCATTTACCCACAGGTAAGATTTCTCTTTTTCTTTGCGTTTTCTATATCGAAACAATTATTAAGTGTTGTCATATTGTGTGGGGAGACTTTTGTGTATTCTGCCCTGTAATTTGTATGCGATCATTGTTGAATTGGGGGGTTTTGGATGTTTAATTGGCTAATGCTCAGTTTCACAAACAATGATTAAGGTTAATCACCGATTCAAAATATTAGAATGGGAAACAAATGG